CTATTCACTTACCGTTATATCGAGCGATCTAGATTCGTCAATTATAATTGTTTTCACTCATCGGCTTTAGTCACAGGCCCGCGATACCTTTTATTTCATTCATTTGAGACGCAATTGATATAATGGCAACAAATCAAATGTTCTAAATGATTCTTCTTCATTTTGGAATGTTTCTCCTACCCGATATTCAAAGATGTGTCTTAAATATTATACTTTACATTGATCACGATTCTTGTACTTTCTGTCTTTACGACATTTGCAAAAGTTGTTGATTGCATTGCCTTGATCGTTGGTCGAACTTCGATTCCAACTAAATCAGATTAATCAATTAAGAAATGTAATATCATGTTTATCCAAGCAAATAATTGTAACAACTACATTATTTTTAGCAGTTTTGACACCTAAGCTGGGTAGCCTAGTCGCGTAGACTGAGAGGATACTTTGCGGTTGAACGTCGTGGGATACGGAGGTCCCGCGTTCGAGCCCCAGGTACGGAGTTGTTGATCATTGTCACTACGGACACCCGGTCCGAAGGTCCAACCGTTTACCGGCCCTTGGCATGGGTTGGTTCTCTGACCGCTCTTGCCAGAGACAGATTGTGAGACTGTGGTTGGTTCCTCCACTAACGTACTTTAGTAAACTCCGGGAGTCATATAGTATGGTAGCGGGCCCCCACCAAGGGCAGTAGTGGAACGACGCGAATCGGTCCCAGTATGGTTGCCTTGCAACTGAAGAGACTCGAGGAAATCATGCCATTCGCATTGACCCAGAAAAGACTTTTGCTTCTTAATTCATTTATCTACATACTTTATTCATATTACTTTCCAGGCAGTTATGATTTTTGATATTCAAATGAATGAACGAGACATCTAGATACATCTAGATAGTATCAAAACCATAATTCGATTTGTCGGACATATATAAAATAACACTTGAAAACACAACACACATAGCTGCAATATCAAAATCAAATTGAGAATCATATGACCTTCTAAGCCTAGTATTGATTTGACCCTAAATAGATATTAAAGGGACGTTGAATATTGGACTTAGTTAATGAGCACCATTTTAAACTGCCAATTAAAACATATATTCAATGTTTCAAAATAATGAAACGGAAATATTGGGCAAAATAATTGATATTTCGTTTGTGGAATGAAAACTGATGATAATATCTATATATACTGTAAGCAATTTAAACATGGAAATGATGCCAATTAAGAAGTATTATATGAAAAGAAATGTTTGTGAAATGGTTAGAAAATGGAATAACTTTAGAATTAATGGTGTCATTGAGGCACACATTGATAAAAATCACACTTGGATTTGGAAAGATTTAAAGTAAAACAAATGAATGCATTTCTTACTATCTCCATGACAACAGTAATTATCAAGTTCAATAAGAAATGTGAAACTTTATATTTAATAGCACAATTATTTATTTTTACCAATGAAACAATACAGTATAAATAAATGTTTACTACAATGAATACAGAATTTACCACAGTTAAATATATTTTATGAAGTACAGGATTTACCATAATCAAACATAAATAACAGAATTATGACTTTATCCTCTATGAAATACAGAAATTGATGGTTAACTGGAATTAAGTTTGTTGAGACGACCCCTCAATCCGAAACGCCTAGCATCAGTCAAAATTTCTGGCCGCAACTGAGATGTAAAGATGTTCAAAGATTTTAAATTAAGCTTTATCTGAAAATATGTCTGCGCAATAAACTTTTAATTGAATATGAATATATAAAAAAACAGATTAACATCCAGTCTCATATTAAAAAGTTTAAAGTTAAAATATTGTGGAAGTGAAATAAAAATGAATTTTTATTTTTCAAGACTTGTCTGTTCAATGAAAACATCATGTATAATTTGAACCAAGGTGTATGATAAAGTAATATATAAACTATCTATTTTATATGCTGATACTGTAGAATTTCTCTTGGCTTTTCAACGGTAACTGGACAACTCGGACCCAGGACAACTCGGACCCAGGACAACTCGGACCCTGGACAACTCGGACCCAAGACATCTCGGACCCAAGACAACTCGGACCCAAGACAACTCGGACCACTTTTTGAAATGATGATATTAACATCATAATATGGGGTTTTAATTTTTGTTTTATGTTTAGATGACATATATTATGTACTTTGCATTCATTAATTGTGTTAATTTGAAGAAATTGTTTTAAATCAACTTATTATTTGATGATAGTTAAGAAGAAAATATTGAAGCTAAAGACCCAAGACAACTCGGACCACTTTTGAGATTATGATTTTTATCATGATATGGTTTTTATTTTATGTTTAGTATGACATACTATATACATTTTGAATTCAAATATTATGTTAATTTGATGTAATTGTTTGAAATAAACTTAATTGGAGAAAATTAAGAACAAAATATTGAAGCTAAAGATCCAAGACAACTCGGACCACTTTTTGAAATTATGATTTTTATCATGATATGGTTTTTATTTTATTTTTGTTTTATGTTTAGTCTGACATTTTATACATATTTTGAATTCAAATATGGTGTTATTTGATGTAATTGTTTTAAATCAACTTAATATTTTGGTGAGTTTTCATGTTCAGATCGTAATATCAGATCAGGTGTTATATCGACGAATAAACCCTTTAGGGCTAGACAGTTTTCGGACCCCTCACTCCCTGCGGCCATTTTGGGTACAGAACACGTTCATGCCTAGCCCTGCGGGGTTTATTTGTCCATATAACAACTGATGTTCAGTCTATATTTCTTAATTAAATGATAAAAATGAGGATTTACAGAGTACAAACACATTCCTCAATCTGTCTGTGAGATTAAGATTAAATTATCAAAAAAACTTTAGTATTAACAGAATGCAAACTATTTCATTGATCTCTATGTGACATAGGTCTTTCAGTGATATTAATAATATGACTTCACGGTGATGAATGTAAATAAGATAATGAGATTAGGATTAAAATTATTATTGTTTTAATTCCTTAGTGATTTTCTATATGAGTTGGTATTAACTGTATGAAAAGACTCATTAACACCTCTATATAACAAGTTGTATTCTCAACTCTCATCAAGTAGGTTAATTGAAACATCTTGTTCATCTTTACATGTAAACACAAAATATAAATTCACAATATATCTAAACCATGTCATGCTAAACATTTACAAATAATCCCATATCATGAAAACAAAAAAGTACCTTACAAAAACGAACATTTCAGAAAGTGGTCCGAGTTGTCTTGGGTTTATAGCTTCAATAGCTTCTACTTAATCTTTATCAAATAAGTCAAATTAAAACATTTTAATCAAATTAGTACAAAATATGTATTCACAATGTATAATATATTTAATAAGCATAAAAAACCCTAAACAATGATAAAAATCATTATTTTAAAAAGTGGTCCGAGTTGTCTTGGGTCCGAGTTGTCTTGGGTCCGAGTTGTCTTGGGTCCGAGATGTCTTGGGTCCGAGTTGTCCAGGGTCCGACTTGTCCTGGGTCCGAGTTGTCCGGAAACCTTTTCAACATAGCACCATATTTGACTTTTCAGGCTCCACTTTTATTATTCTATGCCTATATAATGTTACTGTGCACTATCATACATGTGCATAATCATGTGTCTACATGACGTTTTGAAAGAGTATAGAGCTAGATTCAAAGCACCGTTCTTGCGAGTTTCAAATGAAAATATTGAAAAACGCGCGAGTATGAGGACCGCAACTTTTTATGTCTACACTGACAAAAATTTGAAATTCCCGCTGTAAAGATGTACAAGATATAGTCCCACGCGGAAGTGCACGTCATAAAACTGATGGGTTAAGGTGTCACTCCTGTAAATACCACTTCCGGGTAAGGTGTTTTTTAATACTTTAAAAACGAAGCCATGCCAACTTCAATGGTGTGTATAGTAGGTTTAAGTGTACTTAAACTCCAAGTACTTTCTAAATGTGCCATTTTAAGAAAAAAAATTGCAAGAACATAGTCCCGTCAACTGGAACTACTTTACTCGTTAATTTTCATCGGTGAAGTAGGGATTTTACCTAAAAATGAGTCCCTATGTTGGCGTAGTGATATTTAAAAATCGAGACGCAAACCCTATGTTAAAAAATATAGTGTCAAGATGAAGGTTATGTATAGGGGAACGCAGAAATATAGTCATTGTATGGGCTACTTCGTTCGAAAATGGCGACATGTACCCCAGAACTTGAATTTTGTGATTTTTTTCAATAATTTTCAATGATTTACCGTAGTGACACCTTAAGGCAATGTGCCGTCCCACTGGCACGGATTTCGGTACAATGCGCATCGGTAGGCCTATGTTGGTTTTCAGCACAATGCGCGTCGGTATAATGGGTTTCGGTATAATGCGCGTCGGTATAATGGGTTTCGGTATAATACGCGTTGGTATAATGAGGTGATCCCAATGTTCTCACCAAAAATGAATAGTTTTCTTCGATTACTTCTTGTTTTAAGGTGGGTTGTATACTAATATGACTTCATGCCAAGTTTTACTATGATTTCCGGGATCACCTCACAACCCGACAACTTGACAATAATTTTTTTATTACTATGCCCCTCATAGTAGTACTTGAATCATGAAAATAGAACGCATGGAACATCGTTAAATTCATCCATTTTGTTACATTGACGTTCCGTCAAAGTAACTAGTTGTGGAACAGTGATTATGGCATTCGGTAAACGCCTTTCGGTACAATGCGCGTCAGTATAATGGGTTTCGGTATAATGCGCGTCGGTATAATGGGTTTCGGTATAATGCACTAAATGATGACGCAGGACCCCACACTTAATATACATTTTAAACACAAAGGGTTTAAAACAGGCTATAAGTGCGGTTGCAAAATCTCTCATTTTATGGTGAGAGTGAAGCGATGCAATTCATATAGATATATAAAAAATCTAAAAATGATAAAATAAAATATAGTAAATATAAAACATATGTCGTAAGAATATACTTTTTTGTTTTGTACAGGGTGAGCCAAAAAGGTAACCCAAGGAATGTATACAAATTATAATAAGCATATTGCTAGTTTATTGTTGCTTACACTTAACGACAATAGGTCGAGTATTATGGATATCATACAATAAACGAGCGATATATTACATACAGAGCACGAGTCTTCAATCCTTTACACACATGAAAAACAGTGTTTTAAAAGAAATACGTAATAAAACCTCTACATCGAAACTTCTTAATTTGAAACCTCTTAATGTGAACACTTTTTCTGGGTTCAACATTTTTTATCTGCCGCTGCATTGCGAAAAAACAGATTCACTCTACCAGTATTACATTTTGAGATGTACGTATTTTCAGGGCTCTGCATGAAAATAATACATTATGATTATGAACACATAGAACTTTTGTACCGTACTGGTAATGGCCATTAAAACAAAACTTCTGGATTAGTGTGGCTTGAGAACAACATGTAGTACTGGGTGTTGATGTGATGTTGTGTTCATGCATTCAACACATATATCATAGTCCTTACACAGTATGCAATGGAAGAATGTGTCCATGTTCTCATTTCCACAGACATTACATCCATATAAGTGGTTCTGACCTACTATTGGCAACTTATGATCCTTAAGATTAGCAATTTCTTTCTTCAACTTGGTGTTTTCTTCTTCTAGATCTTTGATTTTGTTATAAAAAATCTGAGCAGAGTTGATCCATGTCTGAAAACTCCCATGTAGACAGGTAGCATCATCTACATCTGCAGTAAGTATTGAGTCATCTGGCTGTGTGTCCATCTCTTCTTCCCTACTAATGTCCTCACTTTGTTGTTCCATACTGCAACTTGCAATTGCCTCTGTCGTGTCAATTTCAATAACACTATTATCTGTTGACAAATCCATGTCCTCTTGGTATTCATACTTGGCATTTTGAATGTGTAAGAGAACATACGGAACACTGTATTCCGATATGTTGTGGCTGCTAACTATCATGCAGTCATACTCTGACTTTGTCAGTAGTTCACCAAATATCTGCATTTCTGCAGAGGTTAACATAACCATTGTGTTACATTTATCATCCGGTTTTATCTTGTCAAGTATCGACGATTTCATGGTCTCTTCATCCAGCCACCCTTCTACATTTGTAATCAAAATCTGGTGTCGATTATGATCCCTGTTTGTGTATCCTCCCAGTTTCTTTATGAGACATCTTGCTTTTTCCTCATGGTTGTTATCGATGTGTTCCCTTTTTGTTTCAATCTGTTTTATTTTGTCTGGTCGTGCGTTGCATCTAAGCCATCTGAAAAGTTTGTCATACCATCCTTGGGCCATTGGGAGGCTGTCATCTGGTATGAAGTCTTCTAGGCTGTAGGTACAAATTTCACTGATCCAAGACTTCAGGTTACGCTTCACCATAAAGAATCTGCTAAACTTCACCACATTTAGCCCCTTGATATCCGCATCATTGTTCATATTCAAGTCTTCAAACACAGGCCATGGTTTGTACTTAACACCCTTTGCTTTGAGTGCTTTTATATTTACAAGGACAAGAGAATATACATGTGTTTGTTTGAATGGTTTTGTCACTCTGAGGCTGCCTTCTCTCATCTTGAGCATTCCAACTATACCATATTCCGACAGTGGTCCTGTATAACTTGATATAGTGTTTTCCTTGCATTCCTTTTTGGGAGTATATGTGTTCTGCACAACAAAGTGATTTTCGGATCCAATGTTTTCTAGATGTTTCAGCACTCCATAAAGAGGAACATTTTTAGTTTCCAATGTTCCATCATGCGCATTCCTTTCCACAATGAATCCTAATTGGTCCCTTGCCTCTCTAACTTCCTTGAATGCAGCAAAATTATCATCTATCATGAATATCGTGTCAAGATTGAACTTCTCTGCAAAGAGCTGTATAAATCTCCTGCTATAGCCTACTCCTCCTTCGTGTACATCAGCACCTTCCATAGTTTCTGGTAGCTTCAAGATGGCATGGGTAGTTCTCCAATTCAGACAGTATTCTTCATACTCTTCTGGTTTCACCACTAACACATGAATGAATTCACAAGAAGTTCCCTTTGTGAGCCGCATGGTCTTACAGAGGTTAACCGATCCTGTTGTAGCCCTGCCGTAGGTTGGGGTAAAGATCCAAGACTCTAACTCATTTCCAGTTTTAGGATTCTTTGAGGTTTCTGAGGATAATCTATCGAGGGTGTTCATGACTCTCATTTGATAGTGCCTGCTGTTTGGTATAGATATTGAAGTAGATTGTTTTTTGATTGTTATTTCAATTTCATGAGAGTTCATTCCTTCAATCATACATGTTGGGCACGTATGATCCCTTGTCATTGGTCTGTATAGGTTTTCACCAATCGTTTCTTTTCCCTTCTTTTTGCTTTTTCTGTTTGTTTCCTTCCTCATGTATTTTGGTGGAAATCTGTTGGTGGGCACCTTTCTATGTTTGTATGGACCATATATTGGGTAATATTTAGATTTGCAGCTTATTTCTGCTTTTAGTATTCCATGCTCAAACATCTTATGATATGGATAAAGCCAGAACTCTGATTTGTCTTGTTCTGAGCCTTGAATTGTTTCATCATCACTTTCATTGCCAGTACTGTCATCTGAGAGCTCCTCATCACCTACACTACATTCCTCCAAAGCTATTTGTGGTTTCACCTTTCTTCTTATAATTTTGTTTCTTATGAGTGAAATTAATTTCAGATAGGTGCCAGTCTTCCCTATTTGTGGTTCTGCACTCAGCAGTATTCTGTTGTAGTGCTTCGTTTCGTTATCTACATCAGCACCTTTTCCACCAGCTTTGTTGTTGGCCTTTAATCTGCGATCCAATAAGCCTGGCTTTTGCTCTACGTATCCATAGTAAACAGCGCTTGTGTCCAGAGAATTTTTGAAGTTTTCGTAAAGATATTTTCCAATGAGCACATATGGTAGTTTATTGAGTGCCATTTCTTCTGAATATCGACACAATCTTCCAAGTTCCTGCACTATTGAGTTAAAATAAGGTGGATTTCTTGAGTCTTGGAAGTGTAGTCTCAGATCCATTGTGTTGAAACTTGAAGGGAATGTATCACCCATTCTTCCTTTCTCTACTAGAATTAGAATACATGGGAGATTTTCTAGGTCAGAATATTGTCTCACTGATTTGTGTCTATGGTTACAATTTTTGCATGTAAGCGATTTAGATTCATATTCCAACCGCTTACACTGGCACATTTCTCTTGACTCATCATCTACATGTTGGCAGTCATTGGTCTGTAAAACTTGCCGTATACGATAAAGTGCCGAAGTCTCATCCTTTTGTTCATTGTTAATGTCACATATTTTGAAATTGTCATAATCTCGAATTATTTCAAACATGTAGTTTTTGTCAGTTCCGCCAGCTACTTGCCTTGCCTGACACAAAATCTTATAGATTTTATTTCCATTTTCAACACCAGTTGCTCTGATGATTTTCATTTTACCTTTCAACCCATTTTTTAGAGCGCTTTGATCCTGAATCAAGTCATTTACTATTTTCAACGTTTCAGATTCTTTCAGACAAACATCAAAGGCAGCTTGTAACTGATCTTTTTCTAGCATTTCTGGGCAATCTTGATCAATCTCAAAGTCTTGTCCGTATATGATACTTTTCATGAGCCTAATGTATACATCTCTGTGGATTGACCTTTGCGGTATATTCTTCAAGTTGTCTATAACTTCCTCAAAAATCAATTTCAGGTTATTTTCTGGTTCAACCTGTTCTTTATTCTCATCCAGATTTTTTGCAAACAGTTTTGTTCTCTCATCCCGAAGTTTATGGATTTTTGTAATCCAAGATACAAATTCTGTTTTTGGAATTGAGAGCCTCTCATATGAGGAGATATGTAGCATCAAAGACCGAAGTCCTTCATTGCTTAGTATGAAGAAAGCATATTCTGAAGCTAAAAGACCATCTAGATTCTTGTTGTTTTTCAGTACTTCAGATTTCTTACTGAGATCAGAAAAATCCTCATCATACCTGATGAGCTGTTCATCTTTCTCCTTGTTCCTTATACTGTTATAGTAGAATGTCAATGACAGGTACCTTTTGCTTTTAGTATTTAAGGTACCTAGCTGTGAAGCCTTGCATATGCCAATTACCATCAGGTAATGAATGTCTTGCACAAACTTGAGGCCACCCAATTCCTTGTAGGTTTCGGTTGGTTTTCTGTCAAGTATCATGCATTCCTCTTTTGTGCAATATTTTAGGAAGTTTTTGTGTTTTGTCTCTGTTCTTGCAGATAATTGAAACACATCTTCCCCATATTCCAAAAAGATGTTAAACTCTGTGCATTTACCGTTTGAATCATTTTCATCTATAAACTCTAAACTGGTGCCACTATCATGATTTATGGCAGCTAGAATATTTCCCTCGTGCCTCACGCTTACTATCCCATTTTTACCATTAATGGTAAGTTCGCTGGGTTTCGGATTTTGACTTTTACAAAGTTTTTTGTTCCTAACTTCAAGCCAAACTTGATCAAAAGAACCTCTACTTCTCTTTTGGGGAATTTGTAGAGTGACTACTATACCTTGCTCCAAGCGATGTCTCAATGATTCAGACCATCTTACATGATGTAAATCATTTTTTGGTCCAACGGTTCGAGTCACATCAGTCTTGTCATGCATTAAACGTTTTGCTTTTTCTTGGACTAAAATGAGTTCGTTGTCATCAATTCTATTTGCACAGTACTTTTCGCTTGGGAGTCGTGTGTTTGTGCTTAATAAGTTAAAAGGTGTAGCTGTAACTTGAAGAACAATGACATTACCATGTATATCATTTTTCCAAGAATTGACAAATTTTTCATTTGCACGATCTACTTTTTCAGTAGATGCATCTGATCCCCAGTGTGCTTCATCAGCAATAACTAGATGCAGCATTTTAGGATTTTGTTCAGCTTGTTTTTTGAATTCAGTGAAGTCTTTTTTAAAGCCCTTAGTCAGTTGGTATGTCTTGACCTTCTTTTCACCCTCTTTATATAACTCAATTGGGTTATTGTACAACTCTTCAGGAAAACAAGCCATTTCCCTTTGACACAACCTAGCTATAGTTTGATCTCGTAACATTACAGATCTTGCAGTGTATATACGGAAATCAAACCCTTCAAACCCATCTAAAGAAGTTGGAATTGGACTGGGACACAGTGAAGTATTTTCACTGTCTATGTTTCTTTCTAATTTGTACTCAGGACTGAGTATGAGAGAAATTCTGTTTATTATGTCTTGGGCAAGAAACTCTTGAATAGGGAAATATGAATTTTTTACTTGTGTTTCATGTGGATGGATATGTAACATTTCTTTTGGCATTGGATATATATCTACTGGCTCTGGATTCAAAGAGTCATTGAAATCACAAAAGTTAGTTTCAGTTTGTTGATCACCTGTATCACATTCATTTTCTTCTCTTTCCTCATCAGAATCATCTGTTGCAGTGTCAGAAAGGTGATAAATGTTTCCACCTACCATCTTTTGGTTTCCATGTTTTACCTTCACTTGTTGTTTACCTGCCATTGCTGCTGAAATATCAAAGAATGAAACAACATGGGAAAATTGATATTCAAATTTATTTACAGTGAGTGAACAGGTAAGCAGCCTGTAAGTGTTACATGTCTATATTTTTTAAAATAGCCTTGTAAAGGACAAAATTTAAGGTAACCAAAATATATAGTGTAAAGTAAGGCCCGTAGCCAGGATTTGTCAGGGGGGGGGTTCACTTTTTGAAAAATTCCAGGGTGGTTCACTTGTGACAATTTCAGCCCAAAAAAGGCCAAAATCACTCAGAATGGTGAAAAACTGAACGATTTTGAAAGATTTTTTTGGCCATCGAACCCCCCCCCCCTGGCTCCCTGGCTACGGGCCTGAAAGTGTTTGGTGTTTTGATATGACATTTGAATGAACATGAGGCACCCTCGTCAATATTACAACTGAATTTAATTAAATAATTCTTACCACTTGATCTTTGAGGATCTCTTTTATTGTCCTTTGCTGTATCATTATTATTTGGCTCTGTTACAACCATGTTTGGTTTTGTTGTACCACCGCTCTACAAATGTACATTTATCAAACTATCTGTTTGTTCTTTTCATTACATTTTCATTATTGAAATTCGGTAAAACTTTTACCCGAGATTTGATACCTGTAATTGAAATTTGGTAGAAACCATACCTGGCATTTGAAAACCTTATTTCGTTTTCAGGAAAGGAGAGTTAATAATGAGAAACTCAGATCTTGAATAAGATCTCTATTCAAAATGTGTTGAATTGTATAAGACGAAACTTTAAGAAATATCTTGAAGGAGTTCCGTTTGCTGTATTTCTGTATTTCTTTAACATTTATGTTTTACCTTCGATTGTGCTTACATATTTGTGTTAAAGCTATTTATACTTTTTCTGTAGATTGATATGTTTTTAAATTTTCTACTGCTCTTCATATGGATATATATATTATTTTTTATTTGTATCATATAATGGTAATATGTTAGACAAAGTTCACGAACATAAGCCCACACCACCACTATGTAACGTTATATGTATGACACAGTGCTTAAATACACCAATGAAAACATTATATAATATCTAGAGTATTTACAAATCGATTTTTACCTGCTTTGCTTGTTTAGCTGCAGGAATGCCGTCTACAGCTGGATGACTCATTTTTCCACTGTCTCTGTCTATTCCTGGGCTATGTTGGGATCTCTTGGTCCCAGCATGTCTTATAGCATTAGCGCTAGATGCCTTTCCAAAACTAGTAAGTGCTATAGGCTGGGTAAACGCCTGTGTCTGTGCTTCAAACGATGTATGTCTTCGGTTATCTGCCGCATTCGTCGAGGGATTTATATGACCCTTGATATTTATTGAATCTGGGTCTACATGCCGATCAATTGTTATAGCTTTTGAAGATGTTGGTTCAAGCTTATTTTGTGCTACAGTTGCTGAACGTTTCTGTCCCAGTTCATTACGCGCTGGGGGAATTATATGTCTCTGGTTATTACTTGATGGTTCTTTCTGGTTCTTTCTAGCAAGTGAAACTGTCTGCTCCTGCATCTTTTGTGCTACATTTAGTGAAGCAGTCTGTTTGTTGATATTTTGTTCTTGAGCAGAGGGATATGTCTTTCCCCGTGAAGATGTCGGTTCCAGCTTATTTTGTGCAACAGTTGCTAACCGTTTCTGTCCCAGTTCATTAAGTGCTGAGGACATTATATAACTTGATATTAAAGGTTCTTTCTGGGTCTTTCTAGCTAGTGAAACTGTCTGCTCCTGCATCTTTTGTGCTACATTTAGTGAAGCAGTCTGTTTGTTGATATTTTGTTTTTGAGCAGAGGGATATGTCTTTCCCCGTGGAGATGTTGGTTCCAGCTTATTTTGTGCTACAGTTGCTGAACGTTTTTGTACCAGTTCATTTAGTGCTGAGGAAAATGTATTTCTCTGGTTATTACTTGATGTCGATGTTTCCATCTGGTTCTTCCATGCTGTAGCTGGTGACGATGTCTTCTCTTGTATTTTTTGTGCTACATTTGGTGTGGCAGTATTTTTGTTAATATTTTGTTCTTGAGCAGAGGGATATGTCTGTCCCTGTGAATAATCTAACACTGTGTCTGAAATATCAACATCCTCAAATCCACTTCTTGCTTCTTCTTCTTCTGTTAGTGTTAAATATGGTTTTAGCCATGAGTCTTCAGATCCAGTTGTGCCTTGAGGCGATACCTGTACACCCATCATTCCTTGCTGCGGATCTGGTACATCCTGAGAATGCACTACTCCCATCATTCCTTGCAGTTGTTCTGGTACGTTCTGAGAATGCACTACTCCAGACTTCTTCCATAGGTCACTCAGCGGGGCAGCATTTGTAGGCCTTACTGTAGCAGCTTGAGTCGTAGCAGGCTGTTGAATCTTTACATGCCTCTTTGGTGCACTCTGACCCTGGAAAGTACTGTATAAGTGGTTAATTTTCCGAGACATTTAATTTTCCTATTTATATCTTAGTGTCGGAAAATTAAATGACAGAAAGGTAACATCTTAAAATCAACAAAATCAAAATTGAAAGTATTAAGCATTGCTTGGTTTGAATGTAACAGGATAGTTATTCTCATATATCTCAACATGGGTCAAACTATTTGTATATAAATGTCCTCTCATACTTTCGGCTGACATTATGATTCAAACACAACCATGCATGTTGAGTCATTCATACACGTGCAATATTCCCTTAGTAATTCTCAGCTCATATTCCAGATTTTGTTTCAACTCTCATATTCATGAACGTAGTATTTTTTACAAAATGCTTGATTGAATATTTCAAAAGAAATCAATCATTAAATTGCAGAGTTTCTAGAGGGTTTGAGTAAAAACCGGGTGACCGGGTCACCCGGCTACGCGGTACATGGTCACCCGGTTTTTACACAAACCTGTTTCTTTAAAAAGTAAGAAATCTCTACATCAGCATGAATTGAAGGTTACTTTCAAAGAATTCGTATACATTTTACTCATATTTTTGCTTTTGAATTCCGATTGTGATATATTATGGTGGTATGTTTTTTGTTACCGTTTGTGTTCTCAATATTACACTATGGCGGATCCGGGGGGGATCCTCAATTTTTTTCCGTTTTTTCTCTGACCTCAAATTTGGGCCCCCCCCTTTTGGTTCCTGGATCCGCCACTGTTACATATGGCTTTTTTGCTCACATGGTTACCGAAATTGCAATCATACATCTGTCTGTCTGCCTGCCCATCGATCTACTAATATATTTGTAATGACCCGCGGGCGCTCCTAGGGGAATGACTAACTAACGAGCATAGTGTCACAACCCATATAAAGACATTGAAAGAAAGTGTGCTATATTCGTGTGGGAATCGAACCTAGGACCCTTGGATCCAAAGACTGGTGCTCTACTTACTGAGCTATAAAGGCTTAAGCCACAACAGATGGGGCGTAGTAGCAACTTGCCATCAAGGATAGTTAAATATTTATTTATACAATATGTATTTCGTGCAAGATTCCATATCGAAATAATGTATTTTTGTCTATTTGTCAACATCTATTTACAAGACCACAATCATATACAAATGTGCTCTATAACAATTCCATCATAACTGATAATGATTGCTTTTTGACCCAACAATATGATATATACACTATATATTTAGTCGTGCACAATGCTACAAACCCCCCCCCTCTTTTTCAAATTTAAGAAGTGAAATGTGTCCCCCCCTTGTTAGCTTCTGGATCCATCAGTGAGCCTATATCTACTAATAAACCAACGACTATACTTACGGGTTTATTTTCACATGTTTTCTGGCATGCTATGCACTCTGTAGGGTCGCATGGTTTACTCCTATCTCGACAGGGGCATTTCCTAGTCCGACACTTCGTTTTACAATCACACCCCATCACTCCATAGACTCAATAGCTCTCCATCTAAAATGCATGATAACATATGATGTGAAGTTTACAGCAGTAGTGAATTTTATCTTGGTTAGTATATCAAGTTTGCACTACTATAAGTTAGTATACAGTGTTTATATAAGAAAATCAAGGTGACCTCCTTCAAAGGTACACCATTTTCTGTTTTACACTTTTCAACTTGATATTTGTCCTTTTCATCATTTTTAATTACTTTTAACATAAAATGTCAAGGTGACAAATTTGGATATGGTGATTTCAGAGTGAAATAGGGAAATGTTATCCACTGGCGGATCTGGTGAGGGGGGGGGCTTGCATGGGTGGGCCCAGAAAAATTGGGCCAAAAAAGGCCTTAAGGCCCCAAAAAGTGGGCCTTCATGGTCATTCCTGGGTTTTTCAAGGCCTTATTTTTTAATTTAGGCCAAAGGACGATTCTCGGTTTGGAGAACAGTCTCCTGGGCTAATAATTTTTTTCATGAAAAATATAGAAATATTACCCAAATTAAACCATGAATATTCAAAAGAGGACATTTAAATCTACAAGATGTAAAAATAACAAATTGGTCTGAAGCAGGGATAACGCTCAATTAGACCGATTCAATAAAATACAAGTCTCGATTTGGGGAAAAAAGTTCATCAGTGTACTGCGCTAATATTTTTTTTGCGAAAAATCTAGAAATATTACCCAAATTAAATTATGACTATTCAAAAGAAGACATTCAAATCTATATTATGTAAAACAATTAAATGTGTCCGAAGCAGGGATAATGCTCATTTATATTGATGAACTTCGTTCTCCAAACCGAGAATCGTCCTTTTGAAGAAAATGGGCCTCAAAATTTCAAAATTTGGGCGGAAGCGGAAGTTTTTTCTCAGACCTGAAATTTGCCCCCCCCCCTTGTTGGAAAGGATGTTTGATTTTTCCCATAGGGATGAATGGGGGGAGGGGTACAGATCATTTTTGTACTGGGGTTGAGCAGAAATTCAAAATATCCATTCTCTTCTATATTTTTTACTCTCCAAAACTGGACCCAAATTTAGGGGTTTTCTCTCAAGAATGGACCCACTTCGAGGGATTTTTTTCATTTTTCAGAAACAAGGCATCTGGGGTTTTTATTGAAAAAAGTAGATCCATTTCTGGGATTTTTTGTCTAAAAGAAACCTACATCGAGGGATTTTTAAGTGAAAAAACTACCTAATTCAGTGACCCTCCCCCATCGGGAGTTTGGGAGTATCTCCCCTATTTGGGGACATTGAGTGACATTGGTTAAATCATTAATGATGTCACAATATATATAATACAGGCGTTCACATTACCGCAAGATTTCCTTAACCGTCTTAATACACTATTTTACAAGTACATCTGGAGTAAAAGTTCTTTTAAAGAATGTGAAATTAAGAAACAACCGGAGAAAATTAAAAGAGAGATTTTAAATTTAGATAAGGAAAATGGTGGTCTAAACATGATAAATATGATAGACTTTCAAATCTCATTTGTGGTAAAATGGTTTTCAAAACTGATTGGGGCATGGATAAATGGAAAATAATTCCGAAATCTGAATTTTCCAAGTTAGGGGTTAATTTCAATGTACTCAAAAGCAAGATAGATATGGGAAACTTTATAGGGATTAGTAAAGAGTAGTTTTTGGAAAAGGGGGTTAGAAATTTGGTTAACAAAATCTGAAAATAAAAATCTTTTAGATTGTGACATCATTTGGAACAATCTGGACATAACTTTTCAAAAAAGAGTTCTTTATGACAAAAAATGGATTAGAGGGGGGATTAATTATGTGTCTGATTTTATAATAGAAGGTTAATGTTTAACATATTATGAAATAATTAATAAATTAGGCAGAGGCCCAGATGTTTATATGCAATATGTACAAGTAAGAGCAGCTTTGATAAAATATCCAAATAAAATCAATAGGAATGAAAAAATAAGTTTTTAGGGGAAAATATAGAGAAAATGAAAACATGTAATATAAGAAAGAAAATTGTTAGTAGAAGAGGGGTGACAAATAAATCAGAAGCCCATTGGAAAAATCAATATGGTGAGATCCCATTTAAGTTAATGTATAGAGTAATATTTAAGACAAATGTAAATCATAAGGTAAAGGAATACTTATATAAAGTAATAAATGGTGCAATAGAAATTGGAAGAAGATTTAAAAAAAATTATCTGATGGAATGTGTAAAGTTTGTAAAAATGTTGAGGAATCACAAGAACACCTTTTTTAGAATGTAAATGCAAAAATGAATGGGACAATTAAGAAATTACTAATTTAATTGAAAGAGATAAATGCTTTTTAACTTTAGAGAAGATAGCTCATTAGAAAACATGATAGAGATTAATAGTGAAATTTTTATTATTAAACGGAAAATATGGTTAAAAAGATGTCTAGAAATTTTTAATTAAGAAAATGTATTTAGATTTTAAACTATAATAGTAATCATAAGTACATGGTGTGTAACAGTGTTTTTTGGATTTCGCAGATATATTGATTTGTTGTATTGAAAGTATTGAAATGTTATATTGAATGTAGTAAATATATGCTCTAACTTTTAATATCTAATATTTTTCCATGAAATTTTCAGTAAATGGTCCTTAGAGACATTTTGATTATTCTACAAATTTTCATGTTGACTGATAAAACTTTATTCATGTTATAATAAAATCAAATTGGTGAGTTTGGGTAGGGTGGGGCAGGTTATACAGTCACGTCAAAATGAATAAAACATTGAAAATACGAAATAATTAATCAACAAATAATATTTTGTGGAGCTATAAGAAGTATGCTCAAAAATACATTTGAAGATACTAAATTACTATGAGCACGTCCTAGATTTAATGGATGTACATTGCATGTAGTGTCCCATTTCACGTTTTGTCAAAATATTGCCCTTTGCATGTTATGAACTTTGATGCCTCTCAGGAAAAACACTTTTGACAATTTCTTCCACTGTGACTTGTGGAGTTTTTGCCTCCCATGTTTGGAGTTGTCATCCAGGGTCCAGTCATCTCTTTTAAATCTTTCATGCCATCTCGTATGTGTAGTTCTATTTGGTTTATACTTTCTTCATGGTAGCATCAGTTTTGTGTGGCTTTGAGTCCAAGTAAAGTATGAGATTAGGCCACCAAACGCAAGGCCTTCTGTTATCAGGTGAGAATTGCAGCCATTTTGCAATTTCTTGACTGCGACTGTATTTGAATTTGTGACTATTGAATTCTGTGACTGTATGAAATCTCTAAGACGTCTAATAAAGGAGCTGGTAGCACACAGCAGGTGAATAGCGCAGCGATATTTGACCTAACATTAACATACCTACATATATTCCCCAATAATCTTTAATATAACCGTTCAATATACTTCCGGCTTTTATGCTGAATTATGCCTGCCATTAACAGAGGTAAAAAATTACCAAAAAATAAAATCTTAATTTTTCACAACTTGCAGACAAAAAATAATACAAAATGATTTGAAATATATGATTTAGGTTTTTAAGCTATAAGTATAACTCGGATTTTGCATTGCATTCAAAATACTGAAATCTGAAAACACACGCCTTTGCCAAATCTATTAGGTGAGTGGCCTAACTGCTCCATTTTAACCCAATTTCAGCAATCCTAAAACTTGTCTGCATTTACTGAGAATCACCCTTTGAAAAATTCAAATGTTGGCCCCTGTCTTATCACAAATTACAGGGTCAGAGGAATTGAAACGAACATATCTTTATTATAAATTTTAAATATTAGACTTACTGTTGTGAGCTGACGTGTCCTATGAAATCCATGAATAAGAATTTTCTAGACTCTAATCAAAGAAGCAGTTTAAACACGTGACAAATTAATTGCACGATATGGGGCTCACGAAGGGTAAATTAATTTTAAGATTTTTAGTTTTTTAAAGTTGTACGTGAACGTGTAGAATTATGGTTTTCAGTTAATTAGTTTTCCCATTTGTATTGTTTACTTGACCGATTGCGTATAAAGGTACTTCACTTCGGAAAATAATTGTGATTAGGTCCCTGGAAAGAGCATTGAGAGCGGGACAATAATCCATCATCGTCGGTTCCCATGCTCAATCACTACGTTCTATCCATGAGGATAGGTCTGAAGCTTGATGAAGCAAGATGATAATCCATAGGGATCGAAATATCACACGCTCATGTACTCTCTGTTTTATCAAAATATTCGTCATTTTGAACATTTAGTAAAAACAGGCTATTAGTATAAATGATTTACATGTATTTATAGTGTCCTATAGGTCGTTGTCGGCCTGGGGTGTTTTAATTGTATTTTATATGTTTTATAACTCACGACACTTTAATAAAATAAATAAATAAATAGATTAAAATGAATCAAAGTTCTTCTCAAGTATGCTCCATGACCATAATTTATCAGCCTATACAAGAAGGTAGCCATATTTATTTGAATCTATAACAGCCATCTTGAATATTCACTCTGGGGAAAAGGTTTATACCCAGCATCAACATATCAAACTTTAACCAAATATGACAACTGGTATTCGAGTTATCGGAGATGTGTTTTTTACAAAAAAATAAAAATTGAATAGACAAACTGACAAATGAAACAATGAAAAATCTCTCTTGATGAAAGTCCAATATTGTATGTTTATCTCAAGAAGTTTTATTCACCCTCTATGAGCCCCATATTAAGTGAAAATTCCCGCGCTGGTAGTTTACATTTCGTCGAATTGAAACCGTTTAGCCACTTGTACTTAATTTATATTTTTTCGAATTTTTAACGGCAATAGTTAGTCTACCTGTGTATAAATCATCATACACTCCAGTCAATAAAAGCCTGGCAACATGACGATTTCTTTTGGATAGCGTATTACAAACCTGTCTATGTTTGAATTTTCATTTCGTTCGGTAGAGAGTACAACAATAATGACGGAAACATAATACTTTGATGAATTTTGATAAATGTTCTGATAAGTGATCAAAACGGGAACTTTGAGATCGGTTAAACTTATTAAAAAGGGTGTATAGGCCTATAGTGCACACGGCATTCAAAAAAGGTTTGATAAGAAGAGTGGAAAACAACAAATATAAACAGACATGGACTGTAATTCATCACCCTTATTGCAGAAAATATGACACTCCATTCATATCAAGAGAAAATATGGTTTGATAATTAAATCGTTTGATTAGTACTGCAAGGTTTGGTTGGATATTTTTAGACTACCCACGTACGTCTCTTCGTTGATAAGTCAAAGTTAGCACTTGACTTTTTTACTTTCAATCAGTTAATATAATATGACGTTGAATGCATCGTTAGTATTTGAATGCATTTGTTCATAGTACACTGGCGGATCCAGAAGGGGGAGGGGGCAACTTTTAATTCAGGAAAAAAATGTTCCGCGCTTGAACATTTAAGGCCCATCATTTGAAAATTTGGCCTAGAAAGTACAAATAATGCCCAAAAAGGCCCATTTTTGAGGCCCTACAAATTCTTGGGCCAAAAAATGTTTTGGGCCCTATTTTTGGGGGGGGCCCACAAAGTGGAGGGGGGAGAAAGCACTTTAGTGTATTAACTTAAAGCCAGTGAGCGAAAAACTTTTGAGGAAGAGCGCCAAATTTACGCTCAGCAAAATGGTTCTGGCATTTATTTTAAATTTGAAGGGGGACACATGGAACTACCCCATTCTCAGTTACGGCCAGGAATTTTTTAACTGATGCTCGGCGTTTCGGATTGAGGGGTCGTCTCAACAAACTGAATTCCAGTTAACCATCAATTTCTGTATTTCATAGAGGATAAAGTCATAATTCTGTTATGTTTGATTATGGTAAACCCTGTAATTTATAAAATATATTTAACCGTGGTAAATTCTGTATTCAATGAAGTAAACATTTATTTATACTGTATTGTTTCATTGGTAGAAATAAATAATTGTGCTATTAAATATAAAGTTTCACATTTCTTATTGAACTTGATAATTACTGTATTTTCGATATTGTGCTGATGGGGCCAAAAATTGTTGTCATGGAGAGAGAGAGCAAGATATGCTGTCATGGAGATAGTAAGAAACGAATTCATTTGTTTTACTTTAAATCTTTCCAAATCCAAGTGTGATTTTTATCAATGTGTGCCTCAATTTTCACGTTTAAATTGCTTATATAGTTTTTGGCTACTGATATTATCTCTATCATCAGTTTTCATTCCACAAACAAAATATCAATTATTTTGCCCAATATTTCAGTTTCATTATTTTGAAACATTGAATACATGTTTTAATTGGCAGTTTAAAATGGTGCTCATCAACCAAGTCCAATATTCAGCTCCCCTTTAATATCTATTTAGGGGCAAATTAATACTAGACTTAGCAGGTCATCTGATTCTCAATTTGATTTTGATTTGAATTGATTCTCAATTGGGATTCATAGTGACTTTGCTCCACGGTTCTTGGTTGAGTTTAAGTCATGGCTCTAATTGGTACAAAAATTAAGCTACCCACGAATGCTGTTTTCCTCCGGGGCCTTGCCATAACTAACGAAAACAATGGTGTGGACATTTCTGGATTATTTTCGGTGTTTCCTTTTGTTGCTACCTCATTTCTCAAAGTATCCATGCCAATTTCTTGACTCTGTTGAAAGCCCATGGTCCAATCAACAGCACCTCCTTATCTTAGGACTCTGTTGAAAGCCCATGGTCCAATCAACAGCATCTCCTTATCTTATGATGACCACACACAATGATAGAGCGTGGGAACCGACTGTGCCAAATGCTACGGATATTGCAGCTATGTGTGTTGTGTTTTCAAGTATTATTTTATATATGTCCGACGAATCGAATTATGGTTTTGATACTATCTAGATGTATTTAATAGTATCTATATGTCTCGTTCATTCATTTGACCAATAAAAATCATAACTGCCTGGCAAGTAATATGAATAAAGTATGTAAATAAATGAATTAAAACGTCAAATTAAGAAGCAAAAGTCTTTTCTGGGTCACTGCGAATGGCATGATTTCCTCGAGTCTCTTCAGTTGCAAGGCAACCATACTGGGACCGATTCGCGTCGTTCCACTACTGCCCTTGGTGGGGGCCCGCTACCATACTATATGACTCCCGGAGTTTACAAAAGCACGTTAGTGGAGGAACCAACCACAGTCTCACAATCTGTCTCCGGCAAGAGCGGCCAGAGAACCAACCCATGCCAAGGGCCGGTAAACGGTTGGACCTTCGGACCGGGTGTCCGTAGTGACAATGATCAACAACTCCGTACCTGGGGCTCGAACGCGGGACCTCCGTATCCCACGACGTTCAACCGCAAAGTAGTCTCAGTCTACGCCACTAGGCTACCTTGCTTAGGTGTCAAAACTGCTAAAAAATAATGTAGTTGTTACAATTATTTGCTTGGATAAACATGATATTACATTTCTTAATTGATTAATCTGATTTAGTTGATATCGAAATTCGACCAACGATCAAGGCAATGCAATCAACAGCTCTTGCAAATGTGAACGGGAGTCGTAAAGACAGAAAGTACAAGAATCGTGATCAATGTAAAGTATAATATTTAAGACACATCTTTGAATATCGGGTAGGAGAAACATTCCAAAATGAAGAAGAAGCATTTAGAACATTTGATTTGTTGCCAATATACCAATTGCGTCTCAAATGAATGAAATAAAAGGTATCGCGGGCCACTTAAGCCGATGAGTGAAAACAATTACAGTTGACGCATCTAGATCGCTCACTATAACGGTAAGTGAATAGGTTTGTGTAGATACGTCGAGGAAAATAAGCTATTTCGACGCTTGAAATAATCTGATTACGCTTATTAATAATTACGCGTGGCTATTAAACCCAAGTGTTGTGTAGAACAAAAACAAGAAAACTGAACGACCTATTAAGGAACTGTATTCCGTTTCAAAGTGTTCAAGATATTTCCGCATGTTCAAAAACACAAAATTTGTATTTTAGACTATCCATATTTTGTCAGATATCTCCAATTCATATTACAGGGAAAACATAATCATGTTTCCGAAAAGAATTTACACTCGCTACTCAAACTGAGGCACGGACACAAGTACAGAGAATAGCCTAGTGAAGGCATCTATCGAATAGTGGCTTTTCCATATAGCTTTGAAATCTCGTTAGGTCTCGTTTTAATGAGATTTTAGGAGATCTGCATTTTAGCCACTAAAGACTAACATTTTCTTCTATTTGATTTCTGTGTGTAATTTTCTATCAAAATAACTTAGTTTTTGCACTTTTATTTACCTTTATTCAAATTCTAGAGATTTTCAAGTTTTCTAAAAATGGTCGGGCTAATCCCCATTGACAAAGTAACGTACATTGGTAATATAACAGGCGTTCGTCAATGTAACAAAAGCGAGGGGCTAAGTATATGAATTACAGCTTCATTTACAAAACAAATTCCAAATCGAAGAAACGTATTAAAACTAGGCTATATTTTCTAGCTTTGGGCCAAATTATAATCTGTAACTTGCCTTTTGGTAGGTTTAAATCGAGAAAGCAAAAAAATCGTAACCAGGAAGTTCATCCATTTTGTTACATTGACGTTCCGTCAAAGTAACTAGTTGTGGAACAATGATTATGGCATTCGGTATAACGCCTTTCGGTACAATGCGCGCCGGTATAATGGGTTTCGGTATAATGCGCGTCGGTATAATGGGTTTCGGTATAATGCGCGGACCCCTAAAGGCTGACATACAATATAAAGGCTGACACACAATATAAAGCTGGCACACAATATAAAGGCTCGGAAACATGGAACGTAAACTGAAATACAATTCACTAAACTTGGACAATATTCTGAATTTGGTATAATGCATTGGACTGGACTTTAAACAACAAAATGGTACTTTTGACAATACAGTACCAGACCTAGGCCAATACACTGGATAAGGACAATACACCAGACCTAGGACAATACACTGGACCAAGGACAATACACCAGACCTAGGACAATACACTGGACTAAGGACAACATATGGCCTGGGACAAAACACTGGACTAAGGATAATACACTGGACTTGAAATATACTAGACTCGGACAATATGTTAGATAGTGTTAGACCTGTAAATACACTGAACTTGGGATAATCCAGTGGACTTGGACAATACACAGGGACTCGAAACACTAAGCTTGGAACACTGGGGTGAAACAGTTATTGACCTCGTATAATTAAGTCAATGAAGTATAAAACAAATTAACAAATAAAACAAGGGTTACAGTTTTTTTAGAAACTATATTATTCGTTTACTATTTTCACACTAGTTTGTACAATCCAAAGGGACTAACACAATTGTTCGATCTCACACTGCGCACGTCTGCATCTTTAACATAATAATGAGCATTGAATATTTACATTATTTCATTCAACATTAATTTTTCGGGCAAATCTTGCATATTCTAAACAGGGGACATCAATTTTGAACATCAAGTCTGAACAGTAAGTATTGACATCTGACAGTAAGTATTGACATCTGACAGTAAGTATTGACATCTGTCAGTAAGTACTGACATCTGTCAGTAAGTACTGACATCCATTTGTAACTCTTTATAATCCATACAGTAAAACCTGTATTATTGGAACACATTTGGTACCTCTAAAGTGTTGCATGATAGGTTGCAGGACTTTGAAAAGTTTTCCACTAATGGAGGTGTTTCGCTAACAGAAATTTTCCACTTTACAGGTTCTACTATACCGTGTTTCAATTGGATTTCATATGCAAGTATTCAAGATACAGGTGATCCAATCAAATTAAAGGATGATGTCCAATTGTCAACTGTTGGGGAAGGCAAAAATTCAATAGGGGGGGGGGGGGGGAGGAAGTAAGTTAAAAATTTGTGAAAATAGACGAAATTGAAATAAATGCTAATAAACATTTATAAGTGATGGTAAAAGAATATAAAGCATGTAAGGGGTGTTGTCAAGAATCAACAGCTGTTAAGTTGTAAGTTGTAAATTTTAAAAGTTTGCTTCCCCTTCATAGTACAACATTTTAAAACGTTGCCTTTTCTTCCACTTGAATATTCAAAAGATCAACACTTCCTCACAAAATCTTTATCTACCCCATCCCCTAACAAAACCATCATTTACCCCATCCCCTAACAAAACCATCATTTACCTCCTCCCTCAACAAAATCAACTTTATTTTTCCACACTTTTTGAGAATTGGACACACTCTCTTACAATAAAAGAAAAAAGAAAACTAATTATATGGCAATAGTTGTAAAATCATATTCAAATTAATATACAGTAAATTGAAATGATATGTTGTAAGTACTAGACTAGACTAATAATCATGATTAAACTAAAGATTAATTACAAAACGTAACTCACTAGCTAATATTACAAAATAAATTGCTTTATACAGAAGGCTACACCCTCCTCAATAAGTTTGGCAACTAAGAATTTCCCACTGAATCACTTATTAGAGCCTATTTATGTTCCCATACAATTCTGCAGGCAGAGTCTAGTTACAAATTAGAAAAAATAGACTAAACAGATGATGAAGCTGAAGCACTCTTTTAAGAAGCTCCGTCAATTGAATTCAAAGGGTATAAAATTCAAAAAAATTTGTCCTCAATTTCTGGACTACTGTGATTAAGGAACAAAATGATGATTCAGACATTGGTATGTTTTGATATGCAATCCAAACTTCCAGATGCCAAACTTATAGAGGGGGGTGTACATATGCAATCCAATACAAACTTCCAGTTGCAAACTTATAGAGGGGGTGTACATATGCAATCCAATACAAACTTCCAGTTGCAAACTTATAGAGGGGGTGTACATATGCAATCCAATACAAACTTCCAGTTGCCAAACTTATAGAGGGGGGTGTACATATGCAATCCAATACAAACTTCCAGTTGCCAAACTTATAGAGGGGGGTGTACATATAACTCACTAGGTTACAAAATAAATTGCTTTTGTACAGGATGCTTTACCAAAGTATAATGAGGCCACTGTAGGTTAATAGTCAGTTTCACAAAAATATAAAATTGTTCGTTAATGTAGAAAAATTTGGTAGCACCACTCAACTGACAATTATCCATAGCGGCCTCAAATCTAACCTTTTGACTACACAATGACGTAAAGTTCTTGTCACAATAGTACTAATTGGGCCCTAGAGTGACGAGATAATCTGTCACAGAACTTTTTACTTAAACTGCCCTTACTTTGCTAATTCTACACCAATCATGACAAATTATGTTTATAAATGTGTAGAAAGCATTGATGTTATACTAAATTAAGTGTGAATTAAATTGTATTCCTAGTTTAATGTCAAAAACTGCGAAGAATGAAAAATTCTCAGGTTTCATGTCATTTCTTTGGCCTGGAATTCAAGAGGTTAATAAAAATCAAATATATATACTGGCCAACAAAAATTACACATAAGTCCATAAAAATGTCTCAACTGTTCAACTTTCTGATGTTTTTGACACTTACATAGGTCTATCAATTATTAATGGCATATTTTTATGATATGTATACAACACAACACAACGAAATACAATCCATTATAGAACATGTACAACAAACTATAATACAATACAATTTAGATGAGCCTAAGGATTTCTATAGATGTACCATATTGCACTTAGACACCAATTAAAAATGTTTAACATCACATCTAAGATAATTTTCCCTCTCATGATTATCAATTTATTTTTTTAGCATCAATTTGTAATACTTAATATTAATAAGGGAAATGTGATATAAGAATATGATATGGGAAATGATATGAGATCACACAAGGATTATGGTATGAGAAGCACAAAGAGATCTCACAGACACCATATAGAGCGATTTGTTACTTTATCCATACTCATACTCTACTTAGCTATACCCAATAATGCATGTGCGAGTAGTTAGTTAGTTACCATTTTCACCACCAGGTGGCTCGTTTGGGTCTCACTTTGACTGAATTTTGAATAATTAACAACGAAAATCAAGATTATTCCTACTCGCATCTCGTCTATTACATACTTACAAGTACAGTAAATAATAAAAATCAGAAATAATATTTTCAAAAAAATATTTAAAAGTTGGTAAACAATTTTTAAAACAACTTTTCAAATGAGATTTTCTACGTATAGTAGATTTCAAATACGAGTTCATTTTGACAATATTTTGAAAACATGCACTTAATAATTATGAAAATTAAGATTATTTCTACTTAAGACTATTGAAGACACCTAAAGATATTTTCGCCATTATGGATGAAAATCATAACTGCCAAAAATCCACACTGAAATAGTAGTTTCAAAATAACACTGAAATAGCAGTTTCAGAATAACACTGAAATAGTAGTTTCAGAATAACACTGAAATAGTAGTTTCAGAATAACACTGAAATAGTAGTTTCAGAATAACACTGAAATAGCAGTTTCAGAATAACACTGAAATAGTAGTTTCAGAATAACACTGATATAGTAGTTTCAGAATAACACTGAAACAGTAGTTTCAGAATAACACTGAAATAGTAGTTTGGAAATAACTACTGACACACTCAGAAAACAAGTACATTCATACAAATTAGTCACACTTTAAACTACACTTTATCCACGCCTCTGATCAAAGAATATGGTATAAAAATAGCACTGCTCACCAGAGTTAGATTTCCACAATTTTAAATATGTACATGTTTGTATGTATTATGTATTTTGCGCAACATAAGCCGGTATAAAAATATATATTCTTTATTTATAAATTATGAATTCCTAAACTCAAGATTAGTTCTTTTTGGTGTCACATTTGTTATCCCCTTTCATTTATTGTACAACACAGTGTGAAGGACAATGTAGTGTGTAGTACAATACAGTACAGTTTATAGTAAAATACATTGTGTAGTATGATTCTAGAGCATAATACAGTACTGTGAAGAGCCATACAATATGTAGTGCAATACAGTGAGTAGTACAAACAATAATGTGTGTAGTACAAGATAATGTATAATACACAGTGTACTTCAGACTGTAGTGTACTTCAGACTGTAGTGTACTTCAGACTGTAGTGTACTTCAGACTGTAGTGTACTTCAGACTGTAGTGTATTTCACACTGTAGTGTACTTCACACTGTAGTGTACTATACACTTTTTACTTTATTCCTTGCTGATTCCACTCTTTTTTATCTATTTTGCAATATAAACAAGTCCACATTGTCTTATTTTTTGGCATTTCTCTTCCATTTCGAGTTTTAAGTACACATTTGTCCACTCTTGTCTTCTCTATTTTACATTTTAAAATCTGATCACATCATTTTGAAGGAAATGTTTGTCCTTGAATGTAATCTTTCTTTAAATAATCTTTTTTCATAAGGTATGGTACCTGTATGAATCACCAATACACATTTTCGGACACCACTATTCATTTCCTTAGTTCAAGGAAACATCTGTCCTAGAATGCAATCTCTATTTATTTTCCCATATGTAAAATCTTGATATGCACTATCTTCGAACACCTCTATTCATTCCCATATTATTCCCGATTCGGCTTACAACAGCCGCATGACGAGACCTTGTATGTGCACTGAGTCCAGCCGGAGTAAATGCAGCAAAGGAACACATATCGCATTTATGTTTTGCAGTCCCCCGATCACTTTGAGCCATCTGGGGACGAGTCAATGGAGAACTCTGCATGAATCTCGCTCGGTAAGCTGCTAAGGAGTCTGTCTGAGGGACCCCATAGGCACTTTGTGCTTGACAAGTGTATGAGGGTGGAGGGATATTGTAGGGGTATTGCATCACATTTTGATCATTCTGATTAAAGCCACTGGGTGGAGGCGGATACATACCAGAGTCCATAATATTCATCCCAGGCTCAGGAAAGGGACCCCCTTGAGGAATATACTGAGGTCTGAACATTTGTGGCCGGGACATAGGAGGAGATGAGACCCTGGGTCTGACATTGAAAACTTTAAATGTCTCCTTCATTCCTTCTTGATCCTCACCCTCGTCATATGGTGGAAATCTGGGGTCGATTGAAGTAGGGGCTTGTTCAAACCTAGATGGCGCTGATCTGGGAGGAGGGAAATATGGTGGACATGGGTAATTTCCTTGGAATTCCGACTGTTGAATGAATTGTTGTTTGGAAGATAATGTTTGTGATCCCATATCTTGAGGGCCAATTGTGGTACTTTCCCCCATTGGTAAACCCACTACACTAGCATAGGGACCTGGTGATTGAGTGTGACTAGGGGGCGGAGTCTGATGTGCTGGAGGCGGGGTCTGCTGGTGGGCAGGAGGCGGAGCTTTTGGCATCTGATGACGTGAGGCCACACCAGCTATGGCTGCTGCTGCCCTTTGTTTGATCAGCTCAATGTCTGGTGGCAGCTTTGATGGAGGTTTCTGATGGGCAGTTATAGGGACCTGATGAGCAGGGGGTGGCTGACGTATCCCAGCATTCAAAGACCCTCTTGTATTAACATCAACATTGGATGATCTAGGACCAAGCAATGGTGAGCCAGGAGACATCCTTGAAGGGGCAAGATGCATTCTGGGAGGAGTTGACCTCTGTAAGGGAGGAGGTGCCCGCATCCCAGCAGACACTGCCGATTGTGTAATAACTGATGTTATTGGTTTGTAAAGTCCAGGCCCTGGAAAAAAATGTATTTGTTTTGAAAATATTTAACCAAGTTAAACCTCAGCCACAAATCACAAATTGAAGTTAAAACGGCCAATTTCACCCAATAAGACCTTATAACCAGATTTCTAATTAGGTGGCATAAAAAATGTTATTTTTGTCAGTTCTTACTGAATGTCTGAAAGTATCAATATTTTGAAAATGATCCAAAGCTCAAATCAAATACAGCCTATTTTTTACATAATATAATATTTTTTGATGTTACACAAATAATTAATTAATGGTTTCAATTTTAACTAAAACACACAGAATTTTTTTTAAAAGCCATATATGGACTGCAAAATAAAATGAAATATTCTCCGAGTTCGTAGAAAGCGGGTGTAAAACTAGATTTAACTAATTTCACTTACGATTTTGAGGACTCCTCTCAAGATGGTGCCTAAAACATGGTGGCTGTGGTGGTCGAGCAGGTGGCATTGCGGATGTCATCTCAACTATACGACTCAACGGTGTCAGGTGACTCCGCATTCCTCCACCAGTCTACAATGAACAAGACTTCAGCATGAGAACACCTGGTTACAAGTTAAAAAGCGTGACAATATGTTACGGATTCTGACAATAAACAAGATTTCAGCATTAGAAAACCTGGTTACAAGTTAAAAAGCGTGACAATATGTTACAGATTCTGACAGTGAACACCAGTCACCAGTTGATACATCACCCCTTCTTGAATCACGTTATATCAGTGCTACATATAAGCAATGTTTTGATATAATTACAATTCTTGAATTCTTAATATGAGAAAAATAATAATTTGTTGAAATTGATTCGCATGGAATGGAGAAATGTAGTATCAGCTACAGGGTATGAGATAACAAAGTAAATACAAGTAAAAAGTAAATACCACTAATAGGAGAACTAATCCCTGAAATACCACAAGCTCTCTTAAAAAATGCATAGCTAAACCTCCCCATCATTCTACTTCTTACTATTAAGGGAAATTATATTTACCTGTGTAGTAGGAGATTTTGCAATTGCAGCCGTGGGTGCCCTCAACAATGGTGGTGGTGGCCTCATTTGGGCAGGTGGGTGCCTCAGAGGGGGAGGGGACAGCACCCGGGGAGTTTCCTTTATAACGCCACCTGTAGGCAGGTGGTGAACCATCCCTGGAAATAAATGACATAAATGAATACGATAATATACTAAAATACTCAAAACCATGATTTATTCACTATTCAAAAAAATCATGTCACAAAAATTTCTGAATTATATAACTTGTATTCATTTTTCGTAAAGCACAATGTGTATTTAGTAGCAGTAGTTTAACTTTTTGTTAATAGTGTTTAATATACATATACATTTTAACAGTTTGAGATTACAGGCTTTGAAGATCCAAAGTTAAAACATGACATTAACAAGTAAATGTCACCACTAGTTTTTGGAAGTTGTAAGAATTTGTTACAGATTCCAAATACGGAACACCATCAACAAAAAAAGTTGGAGACTATAAGAATTATGTGACAATAATGTGAAAGATGTGACAATTTCTACATGGTGACAGAAAAATCATGTCACCACCTGCCATTTGTTACTAACACCAAACCTAAACTCTAATACACTGAACTCAAAATGCTTAACACCATCCACAAAAATGTTGAGCACTATATATAACAATATGTCACCACTTGTGGAATATGTCACCACTTGTGGTGGTGACATAATAAGAAATAAGCGGTCTAACCTGTTGGTTGGTCAAGTTGCTCAAAAGATGGCAGTTGTTGCATGTTATCCATGGCTGACATTGCTGGTCCTGGATGAGACTTCATGGATAGGTCAAGCTCCTGGGCATCAGCTGGCTCCTTTTTGGGCACCCTCGGCCAAGTAGGGATGCACAATAATGGTGGCATTGGTTTTGTCAAATGTAATGGTGGTTGTTCTTGAGACCGCGGTTTTATCAATGGTGGTATTTCATTCACAATAATCATGTCATCATCTTGATCTTCTGTATCACTTTCATCTAAGATCTCCATGTGAACTGGCTCCTGAGGGACAACGCTGACTTCCTCAACATCTGGGGTACTTGACATGCGCTCTATTTCTTCGGTCTTCTTTTTGACTAGCTGAAGGCGAAGCTGTTCAATTGCATCACCAGGAACTTTTGCTTTGCCTTGGGATGGTTTCATGTTGTCAAGGAAGATCCCCTTATTTGCTGCGGCCTTCTTGAGGTCCAATGGCTTAGACTGCGGGGGATCTTCAATTTGAGCTGGGACAGGTTCTGGTTCCGTAATAGTGTCCATTTTGTTCTGATTAGATTTGGTATCTGAGTGTGCGCTCATTGGCTCTACCATTTGTTCATGAACTTCCATATGATCATCAGGAATCTCTTCTGTGAGCCGATCAGTATGTTGAATGACTTTGGTAGTTTGAATAATGTCTTTGACAGTAGCTTGCATGTCACTATTGTTGCTATCAACTATGATGTGTTTTGCAGTTTCATCAGTTTGTAGTGTCACACTTTTGGAGTCCAATTGTTCCATATTTTTATTTTGCTTGACAGAACCATCATTGTCTTCCATGATATATTTGGTTTGTTGCTCAACTTGTTTTTGATTTTGTGTGAGATCTTCAGTTTGTTCTGGGCCATCTCCATGCTTTGTGAGATCATCGGCATGCTTTGTGAGATCTTCAGTATTAGGAGTGATATCTATAGAATCTGGTTCGACATCTACAGTATCATGTTGAATGTCTTCAGTACCTTTCTTTACACCCTCAGATTCTCCAGGAAGAGAAGTAGTTTCGTTCGTTTGCTCTGTGTCAACCATTGGATGTTTGATGTTTTCTGGTATATTTGGCACATCATCTTCTGTATGCGCTGTGACATCATCGATGCTTTTATTGTTATCATCACACACTTCTTCAGCCATATCATTTGGACCAGTTGGTACGAGTTTATCAAGTTTTAAAATCCCCAAATTGCGCAATTCAACAAGTTCATCTTGGGTTACCGATTTCCATTCAAAAGCTACGTTTTCACCAGTCATAAACAATGGTTTAAAAGGTTCAGAACCATGACAACTTGCGACGTGACCTATCACCTGAATCTTGTGTTTAGATGCATAACCAGTTAATTTCATTTTCTTCTGTGTGCAGTATGGACACACAAACTTGATTTTAAATTGGCTATTGTGATTATATCTAAAATGTGTGACAAAATGTTCCTCATCGTTAAATGCTTGTTCACAATGCTTACATTGAAGTATATGAAAAACCTCTTCATTTCTTGCTGGGAATTCAGGTTCAACTGGGGCCGTGTCTACAGGAGGTGGTTCTGCATTAGTCTTAGGACTTAGCAAGGAGAGACTGTTGACATCCTGCAAGCTAACAACACTGACTATTTTTAGCATACCAATGCCATTACCATCAGAATCTTCATCTGTGCCATCACTGGCTATGTCTTCCTCCGTCTCTTCGATACTTTGCTCTTCATCGTCATCAGCTTCTGTGATTTCTTTTGTATTTGTGTCATCAACTGTGCTAGTTACCTCGCTACATTGATAGTCTGTTGTAGCGTCCTTGGTGATGCTACTTGAAGGAGCCTGTTGCCCAACATGCATTGGGGATTGATCTTGGTGGGCAGAATGCATTGTTGAGGGAGCCTGATGACCAGCATGCATCTGTGTGCCTAAACCACTACCAGCAACAGCTGCGTCCGCTGGAGCAATGAATGAATTAGAAAGTGTTTCAGAAGCCACTGCATTTTGTTGAAGAACTGATGGTGAGACAATCTGAGACATTGATTGAGTAGTTTGTATGGTGTGCTGGCAGGGTGATTGACTAGTCTGACCTGACTGTGCATGCACAATGGAATGCTGTGCCTGGACACGAGTAGGTGACACCAAACCAACTGGGGCTTTACTATGTCCTGGTGTTGTCTCAATTTGAACAGGCAACTGGTCCTCAGCATTTAACATATCCATTGCTAGGACTGTATTATGCTCAAATGATACATTACCAACTACAGCAGTCTGCAGAGAATTTAAAGTTGATTCTCTATCTGTATCAATCCCTAATGCATTAATTATTGTAGCCCTATCTGAGTATGATTTCTTCTGAATGGGATCATTAAGATCGTAAAAATCTGGTGCTAGTTTATATTGCAGTTCCTTCTGAGGGTGCACATTGACGAAATGTCTCTCTATACCAGTTATGCTTTCACTAAAGCAATTGTCGCACACAGTACATATAAACCGTTTTTCATTGAGATGTTTCTCAGCTCCATGTGCCGCCATTCCAGTTTTTGTCGTATGCTTGAATGCACAATATCCGCACTGGTACATATGTGGGATTTCTAAGAAAACACCTCCAGTGTGACTAGTGGACTTAGCCATCCTATCCGCCATTGAATTTTTCATTGGAAGTGTTGGTTGGACTTTGGGTGTTGGGAGCACGACAGCAGTCTGAGGTTGGACAACCTGTACCACCTTTTTCGGCTTACCACCCTGGTTCACATTAGATTGTTTAACAGAATCATTGCTTGGTTTTGGCAGTATTGGTCTGTATGGAAATACTTTAACAGGCAATTTAACAGCTGGTTTAGCCTTCTTTTGCTTTTGCAAATTTGATCTTAAAATCACAAGTGTGTCTGATGCATATGGAGCATTCTCAGGTTTAGTTGGCGACGCCTCATCAGATTCATCACTCTCTTCCATAAGTCGTGGAGGTGAGCTTTTCTCAATATACTTATTCAATTGGTCATCCTCGGGACAATCATCAATCTTAAGTCCTTTATCAATGTAGAAATCTTGCTCTTTGATGCCATTACTTTTAACAATGTTTAGCTTTGAATTGGCATGAAATCGCCGATTGTGTACAATAACGGCTCCTCTTGTCGCAAATATCTGATTGCAGTAACCACATGAGAAGGGGATAACGTTGGTGTGGTCGTAAACATGGTCTTCCATAACATTCCTGCTGTTAGATTTGAAAGCACATGAGATACATTCAAAGCGGCGACTAATTTTGATTTTTGGGGATGATGATTCTGATGCGGTTGGAGACGTCGATACTTTAGACTGTGACACTTTTGGCGACAATGATTTAGACAGTTTTGGAGATAATGATTTTGATGTTGATTTCTTTGCAACAGCTAAACGATATTTAACATCGCCAACTTTAGCTAAGGTCCATTTTTCAGGTTGCTCTGTGATATCATCACCTGATTCATCTTTCTTTTCAGGCATAGCTACCTTGCTCTTTGCAAAAGTTTCCCTGAAGTACTGCTTTTTAACAGGCTTCTCCATTTCAGTTATTTTTTGATTCTTGACAAAGTTTGCAAATTCTTTTTCAAATGGAGTCTCTTTTGTTAAATCAGATGTCATCTCAGTTACAGTGTTGTGATTCATAAAATCTTTAAATTGTTTTTCATATGCAGATGAAGGACTAATCTTCCTTTTCTTTCCTGTAGGCTCGCTTGGAATTTGTGATTCAATATCAATAAAATTTGGATCCTTTACTACATCCATGCCAGACTCTTTAGATAATTTCCTTTTAATTGGTCTTAGCATCTTCATAGATTTTCTTGCTGTTTGTGGTCGTTTTGAAGCTTTTTGTAAGTACTTCCTCTTCAAGGCTGGGTGTTTTATACTTTTCACAAAATCTCTCAAATGCACACTACATTGTTGACAATCCGCTAACAGCATATTTATTCTCCTAACTGCCTCAACTTTAGTTCCAGGAGCATGAGGACTGACTGATACCATTTGTGGTTTTGCGACCCTTTTAAGAAACTTGTCTTTCTTTGGTAAATTTTGGGAAGTCTTAGCTGCCTTTTCCTTCATTTTGGATTTAGTGGTAGATTTTCTCGTTGGTGACTCATCTTTAGCTATTACTAGTGCTGGTGATACATGTGGAGATTTATCTTTTAATTTAGACTTAACTGCTTTCCTTAATGGGGATCCATCTTTTTCTGTTTTAGGAACTGTATCAGTCCCTAAATTGTCACTCTTTGCCATACAATCCTCCACCTTAAGTTGTTTTTCTGAAGAATTATTTTGTTCAATGTTATCTTCAGGGATGGGCTCAGGGTCAGGCACCTTAACAGGGAAAACACCTTCTGGAGTTTCTATATATTCCTCGCCTGCTGCCGTTCTCCATCTATTTAGAACTATACCATGTTTGGACACCTGTTTTCCGTGACTAATTGAAAACAATTTTTGCAACTCTCTGTCCATTCGGCTTGATGGAGCTTTTCCTAAGAGTTTGCTATAGTCGTCGTCATTTGCAGCTTTAGTTCTACGGGTTGATATAGTCAATGTAGGGACAGGACTTGGACTATGCCTTTTTCGCTCCTGTGACCGAGTCTCTAAAACTGGGGAAAGGGTTCGCTTCAGTTTATTTTTAATTACTTTTGGTCGGCCCAACACAGATTTTTTCCGTCGTCCAATTTTGTTTCCTCTCTTTATAACAATTTTTAGATCGGAGGCTTGTGCATGAACTTCGTAAGAACAAGATTTGGAGTCTTGTTGGACATTCTCTGACTCATTGTGTACAGCTTCATTAGCCGGCAGTCCTCTATCATCATCTGTATCCATAGTGGAGATACTTTCTCCATCATTTAAGTCAATATCATGCTCTTCAATTTGTTCTCTGTCTGATGTCTGGTCTTCGGAAATCTTTAAAACTGGATCTGGGACAAGAACCAAACTTTTTGCATTGCTACTGTCAGCATTAGATATAGTTTTATCCTTGGAATCTTCTACATTATCCCCTGTGTCTTTCGATTCATCGTGAATGTCTTGCCAATCACCCTTAGTGTCATGTGAATCCACTTTAGAGTCCTTCATAACAGCAAATGAAAATGCATTCATTGCCAATCTAGACTTTTTGTAGCAACCACGGCCACGCTTGGTGATACTCTGAGAGTGAACTCTTCCCCTACGTTTAATCGCAGTGAAAAGTCGACCTCGTCCCTTAGAGCGACCTCGTCCCCTTGGGCGACCACGTCCTCGATTAATCACATGAGGAGCTATGTTTAGTTTTTTAACTGATTCACATTTTTCAGTGGTGTCTTCTTTAAGATCAACACTTTCATCAGTATCAATATTTATCTCCTCATGTTCATTTTGTGACATGTTTGAACTATCCTCATCTTTTTCCATTACTTCTTTAATGTTTATATCAGTTTCAACAGCATCAGTTACCATCTCCTTATTGTCATTCTCAATTTCTGTTGCTTTCTCATCAGTTTGTTCATCAACAGTTTTAACTCCTCCTCCAGTTTCAGGTAACACTGTAGATTTGTCTTTGCTTATAAGTGCTACCTCAGATTGTTCATATTTTGAATTTTCAACTTCAACAGGTTTGAGTTCAGTGTTATCTTTAGTTGTCGACAATGTGGCTGTATTACTAACATTAATTGTGTCTTCATGGAAGATGTCCTTCATATCATTGATATCAGTGATATTTGCTGTTTTAACATTTATATCCACAGTTTTAATACCTTGAACATCCACTGGTTGAATATCAGTAGCATTTGGGACTTTAACATCAGTGACATCTACTGATTTAACACTTGTGATATCCACTGTTTCAACATCTGTGACATCTATTGTTTCATTATTTTTGACATCTACTCTTTCAACATTTGTGACATCTACTGTTTTAACATCCGTGACATCTACTGTTTCAACATCTCTGACATCTATTGTTTTAACATCTGTAACATCTAGCGTTTTAACATCCATGAGATCCACTGATTTAACATTCACTGGTTTAATGTTTGTGAAATGGGAGATTTTTAATTTTTTTGTCAAAGTTTGCTCAACATCTGATGAAGTAGATTCCACTGCTAAACTTCCCTTTCCTGTATTCCTTGTTAGCCTATCTTCATCTAGTGCCCCTGGACCTGTTGTAAAGTCAGATAAACTCACACCGGACTTTTCAATTACAAGAGTTTTTTCTTTAGTGATGACTTTCTGTGTTTCATCTATAGGCCTTAGGAGTTCAGATTTTGTCTGGCTGCTACAACCTGTAATAATAGTTACATAAATAGAAATTAATTCCAATTTTAAATAATCCACTGCTAGAATATAAATAGAATTAAATACAGACAGTATTGATTTAGATCATAAAGTGTCAAAGTACTGTTGTTTTGTTTTAAATACGAGTATGGGTTAACGTGTGTTGCTTGTCATTGAGGGAAAAAATAATGGAAATGAGAAAGTAAAGCAGCACCTGAGAACCCCTTCCCTTATTAATAATAATTATCAAGGTCCAAATAGAAGATAAAAGTTTCACCACCAGGTGGCTAACTTTGGTCAGATGACATGAAAGCCAATGGTTAATATACAAGAGTTCCCCTAAAGTCGAAAAGTCATTATTTTATTGGAACAATGATGATATTAGCTTTGAAGTTTAGGCGTTTCTGTTGTTCGGTCATCCAAACATTTTCACAAGTTCTTGATGAGACAACTAATGAGAAACTACCAAACTTCACGAGTCATATGACCCAGATATCAATGACCCCCTCCTCCTTTCAAGGTTGGACTGTGTACATTAGAATGGGGTTTGTTTTTCTTGAATGGTATGCACTTAGAGTTTGCTTTTTCTTGCTAAGTTCCATTACAACTTTTTGTACTTTCCCTTTGGCACTAGTGCTTATATATTTAATAATGAGAGTTACCATCAAGCTGTTCTGTCCGTGCAGTAAGATCTTCAAATGACCCAGCATGGCTTGGACTTTTCCCCGTGAGTACATCCCATATATTTCTTGAGCCAAAGTGTTTCATCTTGGCTGGTTCCTGAAAAAACAACAAATTTTTAAATGAAAAACAGAACCTTTATCTGGGAAGATATTGTTCTTGTATTTCTAATCAGATTAGAAATTGGGCATTTATACAAAATGTCACCACCTGCCATTTGTAACAGACACTGACTGCCAAAAACCTTTTCTAACAGACGCTGAACACCAACAGCTAAAGGCTGCGAAAGTTGAAGACTATAACAATAATGTCATCATTTCTGGTGCTGACATAAAATCAGCACCTTCATGATATAGGTTAATCACACCATATTATGTTTCAATTAAAATTTCTATTTTGATTTGAACAGCCATTTTGAATAACATTCCTCTTAGAGTGGTTTGAACTAGGGATGGGACGGTTCGTTTCGGTTTGGTTCGGTTCGGTTTTTCGGATCATCAGCCGTCGGTTCGGTTTTTTCGGTTCGGTTCATTCATTTTAAGGATTTGTATTGATTGACATGATTAGCTGCTTTGTCTCTGACTTCACTGCTGACTGTCACTTTCTTTTAATACAACCAATAAAATAACTAATTTATGCTTGTAGAAACCTTTATTCTGAGATCCAGACGCCATATTTGAATGTATAGTGGGTGCGCACAAAATAATACCCTATATCGAACCTGCGCAAATATAAATTTGCGCAAATCTTTGTATCAATTATGCCACGTTATAACAATATTTTATAGATGGAATTTTATGTTATAGTATTTCATGAACAATACATATTATTTAGAATACACAACTAAAGAATATAGTACCAGGGACCACATGATTGATTACCGAGGGCTACGAATAAGCGGATACGAAACGAATCTAGTAAACGAGTGAGCTAGCAACAGACAAGACAGACAAGGTAGGGCCTAGGAATATCAAAAATGTTGCTGTAAAACAGTGTTTTTAACTGTTTTATTGTTACTTGACCAATGAAATATTAATCCGAAAACGATCCGAAAAGCTGATCCGAAAGTAGGGCCGTGATCCGAAAACCGATCCGAAGGCTATGAACCGCGGTTTTTCGGTATTTCGGTTATCCGTCCCACCCCTAGTTTGAACCCTATAAACCATTTAAATATGACCAAAGTTAGTCCAGAGGCATTCAACTTGAAGACAAAATTGTCATCTTTGCAAATCATTTTTCGATTTCAGAATCACTTTTCAAGACATGACATCATGCATGGTTGAACTTTTCGTGTGAACAACCAGACTTCTAATTGGTATAACAGTATGAAAAATGATGTCACCTTGAGCTAGATACACAGCTGTATGGCACTATTAGAATTATTTATATACTGCAGCTGTCTTACTAGCATAAAAAATATATACTGGTAGGCGTCCCTTGACAAAGTTGATATTAAATGTTTTTTATAAGAATTTATTTATTCAAAATTTGATTATAATTACATATTTCCAATCGCCTGCGAAGTTTATCACATTTAGAAACAAATTTTACACAAACGAGACATTCAGATATTTTTACTATAACAAAATATTACCACATGTAAAAACGATCTGGCTATTGTTGCTCAAACCGAAACAACCTTTTGTATGAGATAAAAATATGAAGCTGAAAAAATATGTTTGCAAGTAATAAATCTATAATTGATGCCAAGAAGGAACTCAAACAGGTAACAGTTGTACAAATACCAGTATACACTCTACTATACCTAACCCCTCAGCTAACCCCTAGAAATGCATAAGATACTCTGTTTGTCTAATTGTATTGTTTTGTATATTTTTGAAAGTACCTTATTAACATCTAACAGTCATCCAATAAACCATTCATAAGGAACAGACACATAAAAACAAATAACATATTCATTACTAATAAGCCAAATGGGTTGCTCATGAACACAAAATTCAAGGTATAGTAGAGTGATATAAGCAAAACAATGATGCCATAAATCATCATAGCAGAACATTTTCAATGCTAAATACTAAATTGCCAATTGATCAATTCCTTCTATTAAGTATTTTTGTTAACATGACTATTGTTTTTCGCGAAGGCAACATAGGGTTGTCATCTACCAGATTAACCTACCATTTTATGACCAACTCATTTAAATATGAATAAATAGCTACATATACTTTTTATATTTAAATAAGCTGCCCATAAAATGGTAGATTAATCCTGTAGCTGACAGCCGAAAGTTGCATTCGCGTATACAAGCTACATCATGTAAGTAAGTAATCTCCCCAAGATAAACTTTTCAATTTTTTAACAGAGGTGCATGTACTTCTCTGATTTTGACGTGGCTAATAATGCTCAAAGCACAACCTCTTATACATGTATTGTAGTATTCTTTGTACAATAAATGAATAACTTTTCTGATGTTTAATAGGGTGCAGAACCAAGTTGTTCTAATCCTACAGGGAGATCATTGTATGTATTTATATACATTGTACATTCAAAGGGAATACTTCATGAAGTCCTCTCACATTAGCCAAGTGGGCTCACCATTGTCAGCAGTGTGGCTAACTTGGGGGCATTTTTAATTAATTAATCAATTTTTGTATTTGGTGTGATAGGGGATATCTTGCAATACAACGATATATTTGCCCACCATGCATCTATACCATGCCCAGCCATCTGGCCCAAAGAATTCACATGGTGGCAAACAGTAAGCCCATGTGGCCTAAGTATGACATCAGCATGTACAAGTATTCCTTTAGAACATTTTTTTTATTCTTCAAGTACATTCTCACCCCTTGGGGTCAATTACATGTACAAACAAAAATTATAACAATTATAAAGGAAGGAAAAGGATTATTAAACATGAATCTTACCTTTACTGTTGAATCTGATGTCTTTCCCAATGGCCTTTCCAAAGTTATATCTGATGACTCAACCATAGTTTCCATCTCCTTGGCCTCATCAGGTATGTCATCTTCTATCATATGTTCCTCATCTGTTGCCTTAGTTAAAGTTATAATTGGAGCATCATTATGGGATTGTTCATCTATTGCTGCATCAGCTGGTGCCATTTCATTTTCAGTATTAGCAGCAGCTATTAATTCCAAGTCCTTATCTTTAACTACAGCAGGTACTTCAGCCTTCAATTCTAGGTCCTTATCTTTAGCTACAGCAAGTTTTTCAGCTTCCAATTTTAAGTCCTTATCTTTAGCTACAGCAAGTTTTTCAGCTTCCAATTTTAAGTCCTTATCTTTAGCTACAGCAACTTTTTCAGCTTCCAATTTTAAGTCCTCGTCTTCAGCTACGACTGATTTTTCAGCTTTCAGTTCCTCATTTTCAGGTTTATTAACTACGATTTCTGAAGTGACATTCACATTAGATTCATTTGTTGCTATATCAATTTCAATGGCTGTACTCTTTTCTTCACTTGTAACATCATCGACTCTTGCTATCAATGCAGAATTGATGGTTATTTCCATTGGTTTGTCCTCTGTTTTCTCACTTGTATTATTATCCACTGGTATTTCCAAGTTAGCAACATTATTGCCTTTGTTACTCTCTTCCTCTGTTATATTGTACTTATCTGTACTTTCAGACATAGATTTGTTAAGCTCTTGTTCTTTTAATTGGTCATCTTTCTCAACCACATCAAGGAGATCAGTTATTTGTTCTTTGGTTCTCTCTTCCTGCTCTTCATGGCATTGGTTCTGTACTGGTTCCATAACTATGTCATCAGTCATTTCTGTATAATTGTCGTTATCTCCCTTCTCTTTGCTGGCTTCACATATTTCAAGGTTAGCATCAACTGACAAAGCATAAGATTTATCTTCTTCATCTGTGACAGGTTTACTAGCAAGTTTTGGTTCCTTGGACTCACATGATGAATCTTCTAACACAGTTTCTGTTTCATCTATAGGAGGTTCTTCAACAAGTTTATTGTCACCTGTTGGAACCTCCTCCTGTTTCTCTATGAGTTCATTTGTTTCAGTATTATCATTGATTCTTACTTCTGCATCATTATCTATGAATGTATTATTATCTGTTTTGATGTTTTCCTCTATTGTGACTTCTGCATCATTTTCTAGAGATATATTACCCTCTCTTTCAACATTTTCCTTTACTTTAATTTCTGTATCATTCTCTGTGACTGCATCTCGATCTTCTTTAACATTGTCCTCAGCTTCATCATTCTCTTTGAATGTATTACTGTCACCTTCAACATTGTCCTCAGCTGCAACTTCTGTATCATTATCTGTGAATTTATTGCTATCTGTTTTAATATTTTCCTCCACTTTGGCATCTGCATCAATTTCTACAGGTTCATGATTATCTCCATCGACAATGTTATCAACTGCAACTTCTGCATCAGGTAAAATGGCACATTTCTCTGCATCTTTCTCATTAGGAATATCATCAATATATTGATTCATATTCTTGAGTTCATCTGTCCTCATATTTGAGGATTTGTCTATGTCTATTGCATCTGCGATATCCATAGCATTTATTGCTGTTGGTTGATCAACTTCAATGTTGTCTTGCTCCAATATAAGTTGGTCTTTTTCTTCTGGAACTTCATTTTCATGTTCCCCTTGACTGTTATTAGAGTCTTCCAAAAAGATTGACTCATCAACACCTTCCATCGCAAAGCTTAAATCAGTTTCAATCATATTATCATCATCAGGGGTTTTATCAATGACATCATTGTTTTCCATTACATTATCAACAGCGTCTTTACATTTAGTGGTATCAATATTGTCTGTTGTTAAAGTCATATTTTCATCCTTTGATGTTACTATGCCTTCATCCATTTTAGTCTCATTTTCCTGTACAGATCTCTTATCCTCATTTGTTTCATAAAGCTCACTCATATGCTCAACTTGTATCATATCTGAATCTATTTTTCTATATTTTTCATGCTGTTTCTCTTCAGTTTCAGGATCTAATCTTGGCTTATTAGATTGAACATTTGTGTGTGTGTCAGTTACTAATTCTCCATCGATCTTTGCTTCTCCAGATGTGATGTTCATATTTTCAGTTTCATTCACAGAATTTTCATTCTCAGCACCTAGTGAATTTATCGCTTGAGAATCTGATTCATCTTTTTTGACTTCGGTAACCTCTTTTGGTTCAATTTGATTTTCAATGTTTGTCTCAACAATAGTTTCATTGGTGATTTTTGAGTCTGCTTTTGCAATAGTTTCAGAGTCTATGTTTGCGACAGTTTCTAAGCCTGTTTTAGTGATAGTTTCTGGGGAGGTCTTTAAGATAGTTTCCAAGTCTGTTTTTAAGATAGTTTCTGAGTCTGATTTTGTAACAGTTTCAGAGTCTGTTTTTGCTGTGGTTTCGGAGTCTATTTTTGCGATAGCTTCTACGTCTGTTTTTGCGGTGGTTTCCGACTCTGTTTTTGTGATAGTTTCCAAGTCTGCATTTGCAGCAAATTGAACCTCACTAACTTTTCCACTTTCTACCAAATCTTCTTGAATTTCAGTCTTTTCTGGTTCAACTGTCTTTGGGACTTCAACAGGTATTTTTGGCTTTGGTTTAGGGCCTCTTTTCTTCTTTTTTGGCCTTCCTCCTTTGTTCTTTGGCTTTGTAGGATCTGGTATTGGTTTTGATTGTTTCGGTGTAATTGTCACAATATTACTGGCCCTAGTAGTTTGTATGTATTTCGATGGGTTCTTCATGATGTTTTTGACGTCACTTTCCGGTGTACTTGGCGACTTCATTTCAACAAGTACCACCGATATTTTACTCCCAGAACTTTCCTGTGAGAGCTCAGATGTCAACGTGGCAGAAGGTGCAATTTCTAATTTAGACCTTTTCATTGAAGGCTGCCCATACTCATCTCTTTGCTGCTGATGTAACGGTTTAGGTTTTTCTAAAATACTTGTCAGAATTGGCATATTTGATGATGTCAGATTTTGTCCCATGTGGTCCGTAATATCCCTTGCGATTACTTTGAGTGCAGATGATTGATTGGTCTTATCATCTGGAGGTGCTGCATAGCAGTGATCTATAACAACCTTAGGTGGGGCATGATTAGGAATCTCTATATCTGGTTCATCTGTGGTGTGTTCATTAAATGGTGTGGTGTGTTCATTGAATGGTGTGGTGTGTTCATTGAATGGTGTGGTGTGTTCATTGAATGGTGTGGTGTGTTCATTGAATGGTGTAGCAGGTGAAGACTCGGAACTCTCAGATTCTTCAAGAACTAGTGTAAAGTTCTCATTCTCCAGATCTTCTTGCTCCAGTGGGAAATCAATATCAGTTGGCAAGCCTGAAAGTATAGAAATAAAATATTTAAAATTGAAAACTTTTCTTTTTAAATACAAAGTTAAAGTCACTGAAGCTAGCGCAGCAGTAAGTCACACAAAATGGCCACCACGTAAGCTTGGAGCTCACAATTCTTCAAAATAAAATATCTAATTTAAAAGTACTTGTACGTATAAACACTTGGACACATCTGTACAGCAATAGCGTGACTCAATATCCCATTCCTCTAATTTTTGTTTTCAATTAGTATAGTAAGCTGAATAACATGAAAATATTAACACCTGGTCACTTTTAGAAGTGTAAAAAAACAATGGCAAATAACAATACACCACAACTTCTTGAATGCAATCAGATTGCTCTATTATCTTATAAACTGCCACCTGACAACATTGATGAATTAATTGGGTGTTTAAAAAATGTTTACATCAGTTTATGAGTTCACCCAAGACTTAATATTAATATTTTAGAATGATCACGGTTTAAGTGAATTTGATATGGTTGCGTAATACAGTATATATTTATTTAACACAGCAAATACCATTTAATTGAACCACATTAATAGCCAATTTTTAGGATTAAAATCTTGCCTGTGGTTAAAAAAGCATATACAAATATACAGGCTTGATTTGTAACATAAACATCAGTTATCTCCCCAGGATTTTTTCTCAGGTGGATGCAAAATTCTCATTTACACAATTCAGACCAAAATTGGTCAAAATATGCCAATTTTTCATGATTTTTCTCATTTTCAAGTGGGTGCAAATAGATTTTCAGGTGGGTGCAAACCTATTTTCAAAATCTCAGGTGGGTGCTACACCCACTTGCTTTTAATGCTGGGGAGATCACTGAACATGCAGTTATTCTACTTCAATGATATGTGTGTAGATATAGAGTAGTAGAAGGAATTTTGTTTATTAATGTCCCACACACAAAATTTCGGTATACATTAATGTTACATTAAAATGCTATACATGTATATAAATTCAAAACAGTGCCTGGCTGATGCCAACCTATGAAAGACAAAATAAAAATTAATTATAAATGTTAGAATATTATTCCAAGTAGGGATTCATGCCACGGAGATTTATATAACCTCATTTCCTCTCAACTTGTTTTGTTAAGCAATTAACACCTCAATAGATCAATTTTATCTGTTATATGCATTGTAAGCTGGGTTGCATTTTTGAAATATCCTGTAGTTCAACATCAATCTTATTTGATGTACATGTCATTTTAGTTCAAGAGACCATAAATAGATAAAATAAACATGATGCCTTAAAGCTTTTTATTACTATCGACCTAAATACAGTAAAACCTGTCTTAATGAACACCTCTATCTGGTGAACACCTGTCTCTAGTGAACACCGGTCTCAAGTGAACACCTGTCTCTACTGAACACCTGTTTATAGTAAAACCTTCTTCCGCATATACTCTGCTGACTTCTGTATAAATTATCCTCTCTGTAATGAACACCAACCGAAACTGAACATTTTTTTCTCAGCAAAAACAGGTTTTACTATATGCGAACATTTTACAATGTGAACACTTCATAATATTATAAACATCTCACAATGTGAACACTTTATGATTTCATTTTTATCTATAGTATTATTTTATTTCTCTTCTTTATTTCAAGTCTATCTCTTATCTCAAATTTATCAACTTTTGAGAGGGAAATTCTGATATTATTCCCCCCCCTCAGAGAAGTCCGATATTATTTCCTCTGGAGAAACCTTGAAATAAAATGTAATTCACCTTTGAATGTCTTATTTGAATATTATCAACTTTTGAGTAGTAAAATCCAATGTTGCATATACTTTGAGTGCTTGACCTCAGTACTATCAACGTTTGAGTAGATAAATCCAATATTATTCACTTTTGAGTAGCATTAATTCCCAGTATCATTTAATTTCGAGTGTTTATGTTCAATCATTACTCAAATTCAACTTTGATCAGTTTAAACTTAACTTGTTTGATCCATGTGCACTATGTTCTTTTAAATAAGCAGCCAAAACCACATACTTCATCCCATACACTCTTTGTGATTCAAAAAGACAGAATATAGCCACAGAAAAATATGTTAAGTAGGGTGAATCAAATACTATTCTGACCTATAAATTACTTTGGTTAAATTAAAGCAGTTCTTCACCTTGTCATAAATAGCATTAAAGTACCATTTAGATCTCTACTCCACATTAACCCTACTCAGTCTACCAATCACCAATGGCAATTGAGCCATGCCATCATAACTGGCTATAACTGGCATTTACCTGTGGTCTGCTGTTGGTATTTTAATTAAAACACATGTTTTTGAAAAGTAGCAGATTACAGGTGTGAATTCCTTGAAATGCTACAGACACGGTCTGCTAAGAGTTAAGGAAAATAGTCCCTTTGATTTAATAGGTAGTTATACAGAGGTTACTGTAAAGGATTTAATATCTCTGTATACTCTCTGATTTAAGTTTATATTAAAGGAATAAAGACAGAGATTATCTATGATTTATGGTGCAATATATGACCGAAATTTTTTTTCTGTTCATTGTTAAAAGACCAAAATCGCGTAGTGTATTAAATGTGTGTACTATGTCATCACTTGTAGCTTTATCCATTTAAAAAATCGTGTCCATCTTTCACCACCTTAGACAATGCTAAAAAATTGTATGTATGTCTGACATACTCAACTTCATCAACACGTGCTATCAGAAAAGAATTAATGAAACCACTTAATAACCTAATTTTCCACACTAGTGTCAAACAAACTTCTCAAAGTTTATGTATTTTATGAAGGAATTTGGAGGAGAAAACGATTCTTTCTTGGTGAAAAGTCATTTGTATTGATCGATAAAATATATATTTCTATAGATCTATAAAGTACATACTTTTGCAAAATGCCTAAATGTTCAATTCACTTATACTTATAACGTATATAGCTATACGTATTAACTTAAGCTATGCCTTCACATATGAGCGAAATCTCTCTCATACGTATGTATATCATTATCAGTTAAAGGAGTAATCCTACATTACTCACTGGCTATAGACTTTATAAAGGCAAAGCATGTTAAGGAATTAAAAAAAAACTGATAAAAAATGATCTGATCAATGAATACCAATGATAATTTATGTTTCCACTTTCCTCTTTCATTTTGATTCATTTAGCTTAAGATCTACGACTATAACATTACTATTAAAAATTATGACCTATTGAATATAGACACCCCTTGGGGTCTTTTTCATGTTCTATATGCCAAACACCAATTGCAAAACACAAAATGCCAAACAATTGGGGACAATAATGATATGCCACCACTTGTGTTGGTGACATAAAAAGTTGACCCCTGTACACCTTGAATCTAAACCTTATTCCCTACTCACTCATGAGCACTCAAAGTCTTATTTCCTTCTCTCACAAACACAGTGCTCATTTTAAGAATTCACACAAGAGAAAGATTGATCTAATAAAATGCACACTGGAGAGAAAGAGGTGCACATGTGCTTAAAAACAATGATAAAATAGTGGATAAATTATTACCCATGCAAGATCATAAGTCATTAGTTTATGCATTTGTTTTTATCATTACATGGAATTATGAAACAGCAGCTGCAGGAAAACTGCAAAATCCATTATTTCTGTTTTTTACTGTTTTTTTTACAATCATGATTATGGAAAAATAAAAGGATTAATAAACACACACCTGTACTGATAATTCTCATGATTTTATAGATAGTTATACCAAGTATCATTTATCCTTTGTATACTCAGTGATACCCTCCATACCATGCTCTGATACAATGTTAACCTCTTGAATACCAGCCTCCAAACAGGGTTTCAAACCAGAGACTTTTTCATTTTTTGCCAGTTTTTTATATATTTACACCTATAGAAACACAATGTTTGATATTTGATTAAACATAGACCCATTACATACATTTTAAAACATTTGTGAAGATTGGATAAAATTTGCCAAAGTTAGAGCAGTTTTAGTGAAAAATTCTGTGACAGATATATCTGGCGCTCTGGGTTCCAAATAAATTTTATTAGTGACAGATATCCGTCATTCTGGGTATTCAAGAGTTTAAAGTGCTTAATTTATTAATAAAATATTTACAAATATTAAAGGGTCTTCAAAACCATAAATCATGTGGCGATTCTATGTAGAAACTCATACAACTGTATTAAGATGATTATAATCCATTATAGCACAAATATTTTTTTGATTTCATAGACTCTAGTGCAGGGGGATATAAAGGGTGTCCAGAAAGTATGGGGGCCCCCCTAGGCGGATATATACCAATTTCGTCATAGTATGTGTCATATATCAGTTTAAAGTTTATCAAAACTTACACTATCACGGTTCAACTCACAAATGGTTAAAAGTTACAGGCATTTCAAAACTTTACATTCGGCCAAAAATATTGTTCAATTCAGTATCCTGGAAACAGTACTAATTGGCACAGTTTTAATTGTTTTGATACCTCAGAAAATATTTAATTCTGTTAAGCTTCATATAGGATGCACCAACACTCTTGATACATCCTTCAATTTACTTAACTTTTGGGGTTTGCCAAACTTAAAAAAATTGTCCATATTTGGCCAAAAATTGAGACACAAATTCTCAAACATCTAGGCCTATTTGAGAATATTTTTGCAAGAAATTTGAATCCAATTTTTTCATTTCTATTTTCAAAAATAGGACCCACAGTCCTGTGCTCACACAGTTTGGAACCTTCAGAGGAATGTATATCCTGACTTTCAAACAAAAAAATATTGATTTGGATTTCTAGTCATGAACTTTGAGAAACTAAGATAGCACAGTTGTGTGACCTAGTTTGATGACCTTTGACCTTGAAACTTTTACTTATTCAGAGCTCAGTAAGGTATTTTGTGATTAAGCTGACCAAAATTTATATCCAAAAATCAATTTGAAAAATCAACTTTTTTGACCTTTCAAAGGTCACTGAAGGTCAACTAAAGGTCAAATCCTAAAACTAATGTCAGATTGTCCTGGCAACTTGTAGATGATTTTCAAAAAATTGGGTCAAATTGAAGCAAGTTGAAAAATAACTTATTTTTACTGTTTTTTTACGTCAAATATCTCAAAAACTGTAAAAATTTGATGCTGAGATATATTGAGCAATATGTAGGGAATGCTTAAATCTAGTTATGATGTAATTCATTGCAAGAAATGATCACGTATAAGGCAAACTTTGAGAAACTTGTCAACCACAAAACCTGCCATTGACTTTATACATGAGAAAGTTTCCTGAAAATGACCATTAGTCCTACTTTTTGTCAAATTTTATAGAGTAAAAACCAAAAACTGTAATTCCAAGAGCTTTGAAATCTTCAGAGGACATAAGTTGCATATACAGCAACTACTAAAAGTTATTTGAAAGTTCTACTTCAACAAAGTGTCTAGTTACAGAAAATTTGACTTTTTGACGTCAAAATCCGCAATTTCTCGGGAACCGGGCGAACTTGGGAAATGGCGATGATAGGTCAAATAGGCATTATGGATATGCATAAAATGAAAGTGGATATGACTCAATCCGAATAGCAGTTTTAATTTTCTGGGCCAATGTTGACGGACGGATGGACGGACGGACGGACGGACGGACCAACAGACAGACGCCCGGTCGATCTCATAGGCTCACTGTGTGAGCCAAAAAGTACTTTTGTGTCAACCAAAATTGAATGCCTAAAATTGTTGCACTATGTTTACACAATAGTTATAGTATGCTACTAATATATTATAAAATGATTATATAAAGATGGAAGTTAAGGTACTGTACCTGTTTCTGTTGGGTTCCCATAGGTGGCAACATCAGCCCCAGTTATCCCTGTCGGATTCAAGATGACCCCGGGCACAAATGCCTCTTGCATCGTTTGATTTATATGTGACACAGCTTCATAGGGCAATAGGTTCTGTTGTATTGGAGAATTATTCGATTCTGATGATGGCGCGGGTGCTTCTTTAATCCTTTCACTACGTCTATGGCTCGTATCAACATTAACCCTCATTCGTTCAGGTACATATTTAGTTTTCTGTATTCTACGCGATTCTTCCTCAGACATAGGGGTGGTCTCAACTCTGCCATCTCGGGTGACATTTACAACGTAGCGTTTCTGTTTCACCTCTTGGGGTTTCGGTTTACCCTTTGATTTACTACTTTCAGACTGAAGGATTCCTGTTGGGGATGTGTCGTTTGTATTATACATTGTGGTTCCTTCTAAACGCATTGTAGAATCAGTGAAGATCGCTGGAGAATGGGGGGAGGGAGGGAAAGCCTCAGAAGTATTACTTTGTGTTATAATTGGTGTGTTAATCTGGATGAGCTCAGTCTGTACTGGCATCAAAGCATCTTGTATAATCACATTCTCTTCTAGCGTACATGGAGTCTCCAATCCGTAACCACCAAGGGAGTCAGTTGCTGCTTCAACTATTGGTATATAATTAGGGGTCTCAACGGCAAACTCTGGGGCAAGAGTGACGAGGGGTTGAGCTTGTTCTGGGAAGGTAGCAGCTTTGAGCGTTATACTTGGTTGATTGTTGTCAAGTTTTTCACAAGATGGTGAACCAACTTTTATGACATCTCGAGTTTCTTGGGTTAATAAATCATCAATGGTTGGTTCCTCTTTGAACGTTTCGGATGTTTTAGATCCAAACTTTATAGTTTCATATTCAACAAGTATATTTCCAGAACCAGCATTAGTAATGACATCTGACCTATCTTTCAAGTCATCAGCTACATCATTTTTGACATCAGATTCAACCATTTTGACATCAGCTTGAACCTTCCTGACATCAGATGTGACCTCTTTGACATCTGAACTGACGTTTGCAATGTCAGATCCAACATTTTCCAAAGACAAGGATGCCGTTGGGATTTCTGGCTCTAGATTTTGTGAAGAGTTAATATTGTCAATATTGGTTATATCCGCATCGGTTCTCTTAATTAATAAAGACACAGCTGTGGAGTTACCACTTTCAACAGCAGGTTTAGATACAGCTGTGATTTTACTGCTTTCAACAGCAGGTTTTGAATGTTTCTTTGGTCTTCCCCTCTTGGGTTTAGGGACTATAGTGTCCGACTGAGGGTTAATGTCAATTTGGGCGTCCGCATCATACAAGGCCACTTTGTCATCCTTATAGATTAACGTTACCTCTGTATCCTTAGCAACTAATTTGTCATTAATAGATGCTCGTTTATCATGTTGTTCAATTCGCCTTGGTGAATTATTTCTCAACCTGCTTTTGAATTGAGTCTGTTGTAAACTGTCTTGCAAACTAGTTGATGGGATACTGTCTCCGATGTTTGGTAATTCATCATCAACAAAGCGTGTTTTCGATCTCCCTCTTCGAACAACACTTGATTGCTTTTTATTAACTTTTGTTGTCTTTTCTAGAGTTTTTTCAACAGTATTGAGATCATCTAGGCAATCCCCGTCACCTATAATGACATTGGTAGTGACATCTTTTGATTTAATTTGATCTTGTTTGTCACTTAAATCAGATGATACCTCAACTGGTTTTGAGATAGTAATGTCTTGATTAAGATCTGCATGTTCTGATCTTCTTAATGTTGGAGACGTGACTTGTTCCAAATCTCCTGTTGAGTCATGGTGATTGGGTCGAGTCTCCTGTGACGTTACTGCAGTATTGATTTCATTGTTCTGTGTACTGCTTGGAGCGATGGCTGACGTGCGATCTGGGGAAATTGTGATTGCAGAAGTTTTCACATTTGCTGATTTTGCAGGCACTGAAATAACAAAAAGAAGACTTTATAAAAATCTGCAACATTATTTATAAATACAGGTTGGGCCCAAAACCATCATATTTTTCTTTTCTTAAAATTGTCTAATAATACATATAAATATAATTTTAGAATTTTTTTTGATAAAAAATATGGACATTTTTGGCTCACCCTGTATATAAATACATGTACAATGAAGCCATAAGCAATTTGTTAATTTGATCCCCTACATTTTGAATCCTCGGATTTTTTGGCTAGAAATAATGAAGCCTCTCTTAGTCTACCATTGGCATAATTAAATTAAATTGATTATATTAAAGGCACAGAAAAATAGACCTGAAAAACAATCATGAAAAAATTCTGGAAGGGGTTTCCTTTGTAGTTAGCACCGTTTTGAATACTGATGATTTTTAATTTCACATATTGACATAATATTTCTACACAGCCTGTGCCAATATCATTATGGGAAATAATCCATTAGCTTATTGGGTTTTCTCATTATACAGTATCAGCTAATCCCGCAAGAATTGCTTATCATTTTAAATCAAACTTATTCTAATATTGCGCATGCAGCACATTGAATAATTAACGATGAACTAATTCCTTTTTAGCATTAAGGCCAGATCCAGGCAAAATATAAATAATGCAAGGGTACATTTTCAATACAATTTGTTTATTTTTCAATTGTACTTGTGTACTCAAAAAACAAAACTAACATTACAGCCTGGCCCGACTCGTGGCCCCGAACCAATTTGGCCTGCCCCGAAGAGCCCGACCCGAGGGCCACCTGACCCACTGCTAAATATAAGAATGTTTTTTGATTTGTCAAGCAAAGGGGACGTAAAACAAAGAACCTACTTTTTATAGCCTTGGCCATTTTGTAGTTAGCTAACACAATGGTTGTATGAAGTCAATGAAAAGAGTGACACCGAATGCATGATACAAAGAGTCAGGCAAACTATATTCTAATTTGCGATATTATTTTATACATTGTATAAAATATAAATCCAATCCACTGACATTATTTGTAAATCAAAATGCTGTTCATTTTATCAAATTGCATGTCATTTTGAATGGACAGCAAATGAATGAATGGGTAGCTTCTCTATATATTCTCATAGTATATAAAGTAGATATTATTACGGATTAATGTGTGTTCTCAGCTTTCCAATGGTACAAAGTATTCAATATTTCCCTTCAACTTTTAAATTTCGATTTTCTGGAAAGTAACAATGGACGATTGCAAAAAAAACATAATGGGCAATTGTGTAAAAAAGAGCAATTGTAAAATACATATTGGGCAAATATAAAACCATAATGGGTGATTGTAAAAAAAAGGGTTATTGTAAAAAAAACAGGATTTTTGCATCACAAGGATAAGTCCTAAAAATAAACATAAGATAAAATGTAATTAAGTCAGTAATGTTATAGATTTAGTAAATGTGCAAAAGAGTGGAATGAGCAAGGGATAAATAAATATGCAGTAAATTTTTTCTATAAATGGAATAAAAAATCTCGGAAAACGCGACAATTCATTCAGATTAAAATAAAATTAAGACAATTAACAAAGAGACATGAACTGGCATGACAAATTTAAATAAGGGCTGAATCAATTGAAAGGGTTGTATAAAATATTTATTCAGCTTCTGTAAAAGGCAAATATAATTCTATAGAACTACAAAGTATAGAACCACAAGCTGTTAGAAAATGTCGACAATTTACCAATATAGACGACACAAAGGTGATGGTTAATAACAATAACAACAATGTTAATTATTAAAACATTAAAAAACTAATTTGTAGTCATGGTTAGTTATTCAATAGTTTCAGAATTACCAAATGCACAAAAACAATGTTTATTTGAATTCGGAAGGTTCCCTGTCAAAAGAAGATATTTAACATGTATGACCCCAATTTAGATTTAACGGGACTTTCCAAAAAGGAAATATCTTACTACATTCTAAATATATCTGATCTTTGATCACATTATCACTTTATCATTTTGATTGGGTTACGATAGTCAGTCTGAAAGAAATCTTCCTTCCTAGATCGTTTTATAAACACATCCAGGGCTCAGTCAACATACTTTATCTAACCTCTTTAAAAATATAAAAAACAAATACTGTAATGTTTGAATTATAAGTCTCCCCACACAAAAATCATTTCATAATCATTAGCTAATGATGATTGAATCCTTCAGGAATTAATCAGAAAACCTGAAGAATTTAAAAGCAACGTCTGATTAGTTTCTGAATAATTAACTGAATTGTTTCTGAATGATTAATAATCTGAATAGTTACTGAATAATTAAAGATTTGTTTCTGAATGATTAACTTGGAATCTTTTATTCCGAATTGTTACTGAGTGATTAACGATTTGTTTCTGAATGATTACCTAAAAGTCCATGATTTAGGATGAGAAACCCCACATTGGCAGACGTTAAAATTTGGTTAAGATGTGAGAGAATTATTTGTCTAATAAAAGTGAGCATAAACAACCTGAAGGGTGGCTAGACTATCTTGAAACTTGATCAACATAATCATAAAGGTATGTAGAACATGTTTAGATTGAAACTTATTCATATTTATCTCTACTATTCTAATGAATTTGAATTCAAGATATTTTTTTTGAATTTGATCAATTTTGGGTTGTTCCCCATACATGATTAAGCACAAACACTCATTTTAGCCCTAGGTTTCTGAGCAGATAAATATAAATTAATTTGGAGTATATGTCACCTCTATATGAGCATGTATTAGTCAGAATAATACAAGACAGCTCCAGGAGAGGCAACAGGGTCTTGATAAAGTAGAAAATGAGTCAGAAAACCTGAATAATTACTGAATAATTAACGATTTTTTCTGAATAATTAACGGTTTCTTTCTGAATAATTACCGATTTGTTTCTGAATAATTATTGATTTGTTTCTGAATAATTAACTATTTGTTTCTGAATAATTACTGAATGATTACTGAATGATTAACGAAGAAAGAAATCAGTGTTTCATTAAATTCACAATCATTAGCTAATGATTACCCTGAATGATTATCTCATTTGCATGTCAAATTGCTATACTATTTGTTACCTATTTGTTTCATAATCATTAGCTAATGATTACCCTGAATATGTATGCTATTATTTTGACTTCTCCTAAGTTATACTGAACTGATATCTCACATATACATGACACTTTGAGTACCATATACACACTGGCCCAAAGTCTCCTCCTAAGTTATACTGAACTGATATCTCACATATACATGACACTTTGAGTACCATATACACACTGGCCCAAAGTCTCCTCCTAAGTTATACAGAACTGATATCTCACATATACATGACATTTAGAGTACCATATACACATTGGCCCAAAGACTCCTCCTAAGTTATACTGAACTGATATCTCACGTATACTTGACACTTTGAGTACAATATACGCACTGGCCCAAAGTCTCCTCCTAAGTTATAATGAACTGATATCTCACATATGCATGACACTGAGTGCCATATACACACTGGCCCATGAGGCCTGCCCCCCCCCCTTTGATGGGCCCATAAATCTTTTTTTGTCAGGCCTCAATTAGTGGGCCTTTTTGGGCATCACCTGGCCTTTGTATGGCATTTTAAGGGCCAAAATTTTATTTATCTGATTTAAAATGTGGGCCCTCCCCTTGTTAGCTTCTGGATCATCCAGTGATATACATATACTAACACACATCCAGATATCTCATGTACCCCAATTATGTTCCCATTGACTCGCATATTTTTGGTGAGCAAGTATAAAAGAGAAAATAATACTTCCAAAAAACTTCATTTCCACTGTTTCAACTGAAAAATTGATACCTAATTATCTGAATTAGTATCTTTATATGAAATTTTGGTGAGGCAAATGGTGAGGCCTCGCTTGCCTCAACTTTAAGCCCATGGACTGTTATATAAAGAATAATCATTAAACTACATATAATACATGAAGCGTGCATATTGTAATAGAAATTATAAATACATACCCTGTGATGTTCTTGTGGTAATTACTGATATGTCAAGGTTGGTATGATCTGAAGGCAAACCTGAAACGACATAAAATTAGTTTATTACATTACCACAGAGACGAGCGTGCATGATGGCTTTGTTTAAAATACTGCTCGGTAAATGATAATTTCATAGCATTTTTCACAAAATCTGAATATGATGTATATGTATGTGTAAAATGACTGTTCGGAAATTGTCATTTTTCACAAAATCTTTGGAACTGCATACACCAATAGTGTACATGATGGCTTGGTGTAAAATACTGCTTGGTAAATGTTTATTTCACCCGCTTTTTTCACAAAATCTGATTTTTTTGATTTTCTGAAGTTTTTCACGCCATATTTCATTTTAATCGGAAAAAAGTTTTTGATATTCTGAAGTATATATTGCAATCATTTTTAGTAATTTTTAATACATCATTTTTTGCTACATTTCTTGCTCAGCTATCACTGTTTTTCTTTTGTTTGGAAGATCACACTTGTGTTTATCTTCATTGTTTATTTATTTATTTATTTATTAATTTTATACAGTGGCACTCTTACATTAAGGTGCATCTAATCGAAAAATATTCTTAATGCCATGTTGGTTAAAAACAGCACATTTTATCAAACTAAAATGAGTCTTAAAAAGAATAAAAACATAGGCATGTTAGGCATTAATTGATGTTAATAGTCATTTTGACAATAATGGTTTTTAGTGCATATTTTTACGAGAGTATTAAAGCATTTTGTCTGCGTATGACGTGTGACTGCATTGTCTGGAAATTCCATACAATAAAAAAATTACAATGAAAATGCATTATTTGAAAATTATATCGCTAGACTGTACAGGGTGTCCAAAATTAATTCCTGTATTATCATGTAAAGTATTCCACAATAATATAAAACTGGTGACAAAGTGCTTGCAGGAAATGCTCAATGCAGAAAATACTTGGTGCAGATATGTGTGCCCAATGAAGAGCAGTCATTTTTTAATTTGCGACATTTTGTAATCTAAATCATATTGGGCTAGGTGCAGATATGTATGCCCGAAGTAGAACAGTCGTTTTTGAATTTGTGACATTTTGTAACCCAACCCATGTTGAGCTCAGTGCAGATATGTATGCCCGAAATAGAATAGTCACTTTTGAATTTGTGACATTTTGAAACCCAACCCATGTTGGGCTTGGTGCAGATATGTGTGCCCGAAGTAGAACGGTCATTTTTGAATTTGTGACATTTTGTAACCCAACCCATGTTGGGCTTGGTGCAGATATGTGTGCCCGAAGTAGAATGGTCATTTTTGAATTTGTGACATTTTGTAACCCAACCCATGTTGGGCTCGGTGCAGATATGTATGCCCGAAATAGAACAGTCACTTTTGAATTTGTGACATTTTGAAACCCAACCCATGTTGGGCTTGGTGCAGATATGTGTGCCCGAAGTAGAACGGTCATTTTTGAATTTGTGACATTTTGTAACCCAACCCATGTTGGGCTTGGTGCAGATATGTGTGCCCGAAGTAGAACGGTCATTTTTGAATTTGTGACATTTTGTAACCCAACCCATGTTGGGCTTGGTGCAGATATGTATGCCCGAAATAGAACGGTCATTTTTGAATTTTTGACATTTTGTAATCCAACCCATGTTGGGCTTGGTGCAGATATGTTGAATGTAGAACAGTCACATTTGTGACATTTTGCAACCTTAAATTCAATTATATCATCAAGCATTTTTTTGCAAGCACTACCAGTATTAGTTAATATTTGAAATATTGATTACCATTACAATACATTGACACATCATCACTAACCATCAAAACTTGACAATCATAAATTGATGAAAAAGTGATAACGAAAACTAATAAATCAAATTGAGGAAGTTTTATGTCCCGTCTATGTTTACTGAACAAATAAAATAATCAATGAAATTGTTTGTATTATTTCTAATCAATACAGAATATGTTAATAACTACAACAAAACATTGGTGAATAGAAGCGCAATTGGCGATACCTGCCTTATAGCAGGTACTCGTAATTTTATAATCTTACTTCAATGGATGTAGTGAGATACATGTATCCCAAGGTTTTATTTACAGCAATCAAAAGGGAGCATGCTTGAGTTAATTTTACCAGCATTTTCTGATGCTTTGAGGAAATTTGGTTTTAAGTTCAAATTATAATTTCCAAATTATTTTGAGTTTTTATTCGTTTTGACTCTTGTTTCCCAAAAATTTGCCTTTGTTTTCATTCATTTTGCCATTTGGAATCATTTGTTTTTTCTCTTATTTTTATTCATTTTGCCATCCATTCATTTTGCCTTAATTTTCATCCATTTTGCAAAAATGTTAACAAGACAAAAACAACGCATAGAGTGAGCAAATCCCAATCATCAAAATGTTTTAACTCAAATTTCCTCACTTTTGACAGCCATTTAGATTTTCAGATGCACCAACCTTAAACATGAGATAATGTTTGATATCAATGATAATATACATGTAGTAGTAATAATAAACATATTTGGATGATATCATGGGCGAAGCACCCGGTACGCTGGGTACGCACAAGCGTACCAGATGGTTTCAAATTCGCTCCAAATACAACCAAATTTCAAAATTTTCCTGGGACCCAGACCCCTCTGAATGCTTGTTTTTTCATACTTGACTCTTGTTCCTGTGGTGGTGGCATACTACTTAGAAAAATAGTGCTACACCCATGGACATGTCAAATGAGAATTCCCCATAAAGGAGTTTATTTTGTGAATGCACAAACAGAGAACTTCCCTGTATCTCAACAGAACTTCATCACTCTTTGAGATGAAAAAATTAAAGTCACTGATTTCATAAGTTAACATTCTTTCAAGTATGTGTTCATGGTTTCATACAACAACATAATTAAAGTTTTTTATCTTATTTTTTTTCTATTTATTTATTTTTTATTTTTTAATAACTAAAGTTATTCCCTTATGAATAAATCTGTTTATACGTGTAAGTACATTTAAAAACCTGTCATACAAGACCTTTTTTCGCTTCTTTAAATATTCAATAATTTCTTCAATTTGAGTAAAGTATAAAGTCAGTCCTTTTTTCAAAAGAATATACTTGAATGGGGTGAATATTAAACAGTGACACAGCTTAATTAATGGTTCATTAAAAGGTTCACACAAATACGCTTAGTACGCAGTACAAAGGTTATAGCCAATAGCTAGCAAAGATTCAATTGACATCTCAAGTCCAAAAGGTTTTAGGCCTGCAATAAGTAGATATAATGTGTCTGACATCACCAGAAATGCAGCTCTTAAGTGAAAGATTTGGGCCAACCACCAGGTGGCGCTCTTCAAAATGGCCCAAAAATTAGTTTTAAATGATATCTCGAGCACATCAAGCAAACCAATGTCAAACAAGAACACAAATGTGTACAAAATGTCCCCACCAAGTGGTGATCCCGTGAAATGGTTATCCTGAAAATGAGTAGACAAGACTTTACCAACACAATTTGAGGACGGAAAATCCAAAGTGGCCACCTTAAAATTTACCCAGAATGCCCAAAATTTAGTCAGTTCTAGATTTTCATACTAAGAACCACCCCTGAAAATTTGAAATTGATCCGTCACACAGTTAACCAGAAAACATGTAAAGAAGACTTTACAGACAAGATTTCAGGATGGAAAATCCAAAATGGCTGCCTTGACATTTACCAAGAATATCAAAAAACTAATCTGTTTGTAGATTTTCATACTAAGAATCATCCCTGAAAATATGAAATTGATCTACCAAACGGTTCACCTGAAAACGGGTAGACAAGACTTTACAGACAAGATTTTAGGACAGAAAATCCAAAATGGCTGCCTTAACATTTACGCAGAATGCAAAAAAAGTAATCAGATGTAGATTTTCATACAAAGAATCATCCCTGAAAATTTGAAATTGATCTACCAAACCGTTCACCTAAAAACGCGTAGACAAGACTTTACAGGCAAGATTTTAAGACGGAAAATCCAAAATGGCTGCCTTGACATTTACCCAGAATGCAAAAAAACTAATGAGTTCTAGATTTTCATACTAAGAATCATTCCTGAAAATTTGAAATTGATCTACCAAACAGTTCACCTGAAAACGAGTAGACAAGACTTTACAGACAAGATTTTAGGACGGAAAATCCAAAATGGCTGCCTTGACATTTACCCAGAATGCCAAAAAACTAATGAGATATAGATTTTTATACTAAGAATCATCCCTGAAAATTTGAAATTGATCCACCAAACGGTTCACCTGAAAACGCGCAGACAAGACTTCACAGACAAGATTTTAGGACGGAAAAATCCAAAATGGCCGACAATAAAAAAGTCCTTATGAGTTTTTGCTGATTTCTTTTTACAAAATTATCACATATAACTACTGTTAACAATAAAGTAGGCTTTTACAGCAAAGTACATCTGAAATTATTTATAAAGCTACTAAATAGTTAAAGTATGAAAACTCAAAAACACCATTGAATATGATACAAAGTATTATCGCGCGCTAACTTTTCTTAAGACATTCAAAATGGCTGACATGACTGAGCTAGCAGGTCCAAAACCTAATCAGATCTAGAATGAAGTGAGCTGAACAAGATGTTAAAGTTTTAAATGCAACTGTGAAGCAGTTTTTCTTAAAGTTTGCAGACAAGGATTTTAGCATTTGACTTCAAAATGGCCGACAGGAAGTAGGTTTCGAGTTAAATTTTTTTCATCCACATCTATAGGCACTCATAACTTATTCCTGAAAATTAGAAGGTGATACCTGTAGCGGTTTTGGAGAAAACTGCCGGACGTACGGACGGACAGACAGACAACCAGACAGACAGACGGACGGACGGACGCGCCTAGGACGACAATATGGCCCCACACTATGTGGTGGGGACATAATAAAAATTCCTTTCTAGTGTTAAAATGAAAATAAATGACTCTTCGGTGCCATTCATGGCCCCGAATCCATTTCTGAGCAGCTTATAGGGGGCGCTAAGTTGATGTTTAGATGACATCTCGAGCACATCAAGCAAACCAATGCCAAATAATTTTCAGTTTAGTGTTGAATTGAAAACTTCTTCAACTTGTACTGCAATGGCTTCAGTATGAATGAAATGTTCCTTTGTGCTGTGGTCTCAAATTGAGATATTTGTACTTGAATGGTGGGGAGGGGGTATTGGATACAGTTTCTTTTCACATTGGATTATGATTTGGGAAAGTTGGGGTTTGTTTTCTTTATGACATGTGTACTCTCAGATGTTTTCTTTTTCTTGCTGTGTTCTGTATTAATTTTTGGTACAACCCATTAGCACTTGCGCATACATATTTATCTTACATATTTATTTTCAAGATTAATTCCCCAAATACTTCACATAAAAATGTGACATTATGTTCCATTAAAATAACATATTTGTTGTTCCTTATTTGACAATACATGTACTACAAATGTTGCCCCTTCCAACTACATGTAGTTCAAATTAAAAATTCAATCTGCTAAAACTTATAAATAAACCTTTTTTCAATCATATGTACATATATACATACCTGTTTTTACAAATGAAATAGTATTTGGCTGGACTTCATTGTTTGGACCAATCACATCATCAGTTTTATTCATCTCCGACTTATCACCATCAGTGCCCGGATCATCCATATGATTGTCATTTTCGGAATCACCTTTATCAGCATCTGTCATCACATTTTTCAAAGCATTGCCTACTTTATACCGAGATGCAGACTTTGATCGTTTTCTCTGAGTTATATTGTCTTTTGTTTTTGGCTCCACAGTTGATTCGGATGTTTTCCCTGTGGAAAGATTTCTACTTTCATTTGTTGCTAAAGGTGATTTGGCTTCAATGCTGTCTTCTCTTCTTTTAGGGGGTCTTCCCCTCCTTGGTTTCACAGGCTTAATAGTATCATCAATGCTATTACTAACACCCGTATTATCTGCTACATTGTCAATTGTCTCCTCATTATTTACATTAGCTTGTTCTGCCTTTTGTTCAAGTGTCATATTTTCACTTTTATTAATACTATGCTCTATATTTTTGATTTGTGTTGTTTGTTTGTTTTTTGCTTCAGTTTTACTTACACAAGTTATGTTTTTATCATTGATAAGTTTTTCTAAGTCAACTGCCAGTTTCTTAGCACCTTTATATATTGGGCGTTTCTCACTCCTTCTTTTTGGACCAGTTTCAGATTTGCTTTCATTGATGGCAGTATTGCTTATAGTGATTTGATCAGTTCTACCAGCATCTGATGCTTCACTCATCGTTTCCCTTGATGTTTTACCTATAGTTTCAGTAATGTCCATCTCACTTTGTTTATTTGTTTCATGGATTTCGTTGATTTTTTGTTTTTCAATGTCATTCATCTCCACTTCTTTTGTATTGCTCCTCCCCCTTGACTTGCCCCTCCCCCTTGACTTGCTCCTCCCCCTTGACTTGCTCCTCCCCCTTGACTTGCTCCTCCCCCTTGACTTGCTCCTCCCTCTCGACTTACTCCTCCCACTTGGCCGCCCCACTCTTTTGTGACTCTCTCTCCTTTGAGAGGTCACAGGGGAACTGTCAGTGTCTTTAGATTCATATTGTGGCAAGTTTGGTTTCTGTATTTTATCAGAAGTCTGTATAGGTTTCCTTGTCAGGGGTCTCCCCCTGCTTTTTGTGGGACTATTCACATTGTCTTTAATTGTGCTGTCATCAATGGTCAATTGTTCATTTAATTCTTCAGTTGTGAGGATTACTGCATTGTTTTCTATTGTTTGTTTAGGAGGTCTGCCCCGCTTTTTAATTGGTTCAACTAAAGGCGAACATTCTTTCCTCGTGATTCCTCCCTGTGACTGTAAGTTTTCTAATCTTATTTCATTATTTTGTTTATTACATTCTTTATTTTGTTTTTCTGATTTTGGTGGTCTACCCCTTCCTCTTTTAGTTGTACTGGAGTCAGGAGAATCCACCATTTCCTTTGTTTGTCTTTCAATGGACTCTGACTGCTCTTGTTCAATGTTGTTTAAGAAGCTCTGTGGGATTTCAGGTTCAAGTTGTGGCGGTCCCTCACTTAGCCTCCGTTCGATGACTTTACCAGTCTTTATTTTAAATTGCTCCGTTTTGTTTAAGTCATGAGCAGGGGATATCTTTTTCGGACGACCACGCCCTTTTTTGGGTATAGTCTCAAATGGCTTTGAAGTACTTGGGTTTAGAAAGGTTTCTTTTTCTAAATCGGGTGGTTTAGTTGGAGAATGAGGCCCTAATGATGATTGGTCGCTTTGTTGGTCAACTGATAATCTCAACGGTCTACTCGGTGGCCCCATTGAATAACTTTCATCATCCAAATCATCTTGGAATTCAAATGGATCCATTTTTAGAGCATTCATATGAGAGTCTTTTAGTTTAGGAAAATCAATGTCACTGTCATTGGATTCACTTTCCGGTTCAATCTTAATTGGCGATATTGTCTTTGGTCGACCTCTACCACGTTTTGCACTATTCGAGATTGCTATATCTGGAGTGGAGGAACGAGAGGACGCTTCTGAAACAGCAATGTCCTTTTTTGGTCTTCCTCTCCCTCTTGGCGATTTAATGGAATCTGGAGATCCTAAATTGGGTGACTTTAAGTCATTGATTTTCTCAATTGGATTTTTAGTTTGTGTCTTTTGTGCAGATTTATTGCCACTTGCTAGCCCTGGACTTTCATTTCTCACTTTTGATTTCTCCGTCTTTATTCCTTGTTTGGTGATGTTTGGACTCCTAGCCGGTGAATTCGAAGTTTTATTTTTAATTTCTTTTTTATTTACGTTTGGGCTTTCAGATATTGATTTCTTTCTTTTGTGACCTGTATCCTTTTTACTTGCGCCTGGGCTTTCTGTACGTCTGTTTGCAGATTTCTTTGTATGCGATACACCAGGAGATTGGAGCCTCACTTTGGACTGCGCTGGACTTACATCGGAACGATGACGTAATGTTCTTTCACCAGCGACACTGCTATTAGACCTTGTATTCTTTTCCATCTGAAAAAACAGTAATTTTTTTAAATATTAATTTTGCAATATCAATGTACAATACAATTAGATTACCGTCGTATTAAAAGGATAAAACATCAGGAATCTGGTATTTAGTCGAGTGAATGGGTCTCCCATGTGTAAAATGATATCAAATGTCAACCTCAGTTCAAAGACCAGAACTCAAAAATAATTAATTAATTGGCCATGCAATTAATATAACAATATAAAAAGAAAAATGGAAATGGAATATTATGCAGGGAAAGGTTGAAAAAATAATGAAATTATCTATTTTTGTATTTAAAATAACAGATTGTGTTGACTTTTTATAGATTAATTTTACATTTATTACAGTGTGGGTAAAATAATAAAATTCATAATAGTGACAAAAGTCTCATTAATACCATTAATAAAGCACTGTTCAAATATATGTATCTGTTCATGACATTTACAAAACAGGCGCACTATTCAATTGTATGAATAAAAAAATTATTATAATAATCTGACGATTAATTTTTTCAATAAATGTCAATTAATGACATCGAAAAACAAAAGGATTTTCAAACAAAGCTAGGAGAGAAAAATGTCATGTTGCCCTAGATCATACGGGTACCTTATTTTTCTAACATTTGAGAAACATTCTCAGTTTTTGAAAATTTCTATACAATTTAGAGTGTTAACTACATGCCTGTATACTTTATTCCTTGCTGATTCCACTCTTTTCCACTCTATTTTGCTTTTTAAAACATGACGATTATCACTTTTTATACGTGTGTGTGAGTCACCTGTCTGATATATGGCAGACAATGAATACGCCATTTGTTTGTATAATATTAATCCTCTCTTCTTCCTTCATTTAATATTATTACTACATATAATAATATCTCACCTAAAACTCATTAAATCTTACATAGCTAGTTCTCCCTTGATCAAAGACCATAAAGCTTTTGTTTTTTTGACAATTTTCCTGTATGTTCTCCTCAATAAATATAAATAAAAGAACTATAATTTTGCTCCTTTCCACTCTATTTTGCATGTAACACATGAAAATTTACTCAGGGGTGATGTAGTTGCGATGATTAAATCATAGTTTCATTGCCAATGCTGATGATACAAACTAAGAATATTAAATACAAGAGATATCAAACCAATAATTCACCTCATGTTTTAATAACTGGATTTCAAATCTCACAACTCAAGATACATCATGCCATACATACATAAAAACCTGTGTATAATTAACATTTTTCTGCAAAGAAAAAAAATAGTGTTAATAGGTGTTTACTACAGAGGTAATTTATACAGATTAAGAGTCAGTGAGTATTTGCGAAGGAAGAGTGTTCACTACAGATAGGTGTTCATAAGAGAGAGGAGTTCACTAAAACTGGTATTCATTTTAGAGAGGCCTTCACTAAGACAGGTATTCATAAGAGAGAGGTGTTCACTAAAACTGGTGTTCATTAGAGAGATGTTCACTTAGACAGGTGTTTATTAGAGAGAGATGTTCACTAAGGCTGGTGTTCATTAGAGAGAAACAGATGTTCACTAAGACTCGTGTTCATTAGAGAGAGATGTTCCCTAAGCCTTGTGTTCATTAGAGAGAGGCAGATGTTCACTAAGACTGGTGTTCATTAGAGAGGCAGATGTCCACTAAGACTCTTGTTTATTAGAGAGAGATGTTCACTAAGACTCATGTTCATTAGAGAGAGATGTTCACTAAGACTCTTGTTCATTAGAGAGAGAGATGTTCACTAAGATTCTTGTTTATTAGAGAGAGATGTTCACTAAGACTCATGTTCATTAGAGAGAGATGTTCACTAAGACTCTTGTTCATTAGAGAGAGAGATGTTCACTAAGATTCTTGTTCATTAGAGAGAGATGTTCACTAAGACTCATGTTCATTAGAGAGAGAGATGTTCACTAAGATTCTTGTTCATTAGAGAGAGATGTTCACTAAGACTCGTGTTCATTAGAGAGAGATGTTCCCTAAGCCTTGTGTTCATTAGAGAGAGGCAGATGTTCACTAAGACTGGTGTTCATTAGAGAGGCAGATGTCCACTAAGACTCTTGTTTATTAGAGAGAGATGTTCACTAAGACTCGTGTTCATTAGAGAGAGATGTTCACTAAGACTCTTGTTCATTAGAGAGACAGATGTTCACTGAGACTCGTGTTCATTAGAGAGAGTTATTCACAAAATTCTTGTTCATTAGAGAGAGATGTTCACTAGGACTCTTGTTCATTAGAGAGAGATGTTCACTGAGACAGGTTTTACAGCAATGTGATTGATGTTACCTGTTTAAATGCTCTAAAAACTTGTTTGCCTTAATGGGAATCACGGATGCCAGGCTTATTAATGGTAAAAAGTAAACCCTTGGAATATCTACCAAGAGTGACGGACATATCAGTCACAGTATTTTAAATGACTCTCACCTTGACTTTTGTTCAATTTACAAAATATTTATATTAACTGTGTGTAATTGTTCAATGTTCAGTGCAGTGATCTCCACAGGATTTTTTCTCAAGTGGGTGCAAAATTCTCATTTTCACAGTTCAGACCCAAATTGGTCAAAATATGCCAATTTTTCATGATTTTTGTCATGTTAAATTGGGTGAAAATGGATTTTCAGGTGGGTGCAAGCCTAGTTTCAAAATCTCAAGTGGGTGCTGCGTCCATTTGCTTTAATGCTGGGGAGATCACTGCAGTGATATCATCAAAATAATTTATCAAACATAGTAAAATGACAAAAGGATAAAGAAATTTACAAAAATGTGATCAAAGAAGTTAGTTTATAACATAAAAGTCAACATGAGCATGAAGAAGAAAAAGAACACTGTGCTCTAAAAAATAAGTTATTTTCAATTACCTTATACTTTGAAGAAACACATTAAACTCCCCTTGGATAAAATATCATTTTAAGACACTTTTTAAGAAGTACAAATTGTTAAAATAGTAGAATTAGTACGAAATAAAGTAAACATTGATGATTGTTATACTCTAAATAAATGATATATGATATATAAATGTTGAAATTCTGTTCAGAGTTCAAATCTGTTCAGTAACCACTGAGCTAGAAATATTTTTGGGGTTTTTGGTTGATCTAATTTCTTCAGAACATTGGCATTTCTTTAAGTTCAAAATAATGATTGTGCTCTTTGATAAAACATGTAGATCAAATTTACACATGGCAAATGATAACACATGAAAAATAGTGATTCTAATGTTATTTATAAGCTCACAGTGCGAGCTATAGCTATTACTTATTTGTCCATCCATCTGTCAGTCAATTTGTCTGTCAACAATAGTGGCTACCATTTTTAGCCTTGCAAAATTCACTTTTTTACCATTTAATATCTTAATAAATAATTTCATGTGTTCTGCATTGTAATATCCAATGTCAATATAAGCAGTTCTTTTAAGAAATAATTTTGTAACAAAAATTAACAAAATTCTTTCGAAAAATCCAAATGGCCACCATTTTTGTTGCAAATCTTTTCACTTTTTGCCCTATGCACCATGTGAGCTCAGTGTCTTTTTCATATGTGGTGTGTCATTGGAGAGATCGTTCAATAATCAATCAGAAGTGCCCACATATTTTTTTCGCCAGGTGTCACACTTTAAAATGATAATGGTGGTGAAGAAATAATTTATGGTCCTATTAAAGAAACAGTCAGTCAATGTTTTATTTATTTTATTTAACCATAAAACAGGGTGCAGTGAAAACGACAATTTTGCTTTGAGTATCATTAAAAAATCATTAAAATTAGCATTTTATTTGGTTGATCCAGATATCAGAGTGAAGTTAGAGCAAGTGAAACCTAAAGGAATCATGATGCTATGTTATAACAACCTTGCCGGGCCTGTTCTAGGGGGTACTAGTACTAGATTAGAAGGTATTTACTTGACCTGAGCAATATGTGACGTTATAGGGGCCAATAATGGATATAATGGCCCAGCAATGTTGCCCAGGAAATGAGATATCGTTCAATGAGTATAAATTTTGTTTAGTATTGTACTATTGATGGCCTGACATACATTGATTGATAAGCGTTTAAAAGAACTTTTATATCAATTGATGTTTCAAGAGCAAGTCTTAATGTTTGGATACAATTTTTATATTTTATATGATAACACTGCTCATCTTTATATGTGCAATGGACTGAATAAACACCGACATATCTTTCTTCTTTTATTGAACGTACAAAGTTGTATTTTGAAGTTATAAATGCATAGAATCTTGTTATAAGCAATCTTACTCCACGTCGGGAAGTGAATGACTTTTACATATTGAAGGGGTCAAGGTCATTTATGCCAGACGCCATAATTAATTAATAAAAAAAGAAAGTGCTGTAACAAATTGACTTTTTTTACTACAATTCATAAACTGAGTGATATTCCATGCGATTTATATCTTATTCCTGGGCTAACGATCTAATTTAATTACTCAATCCAATCATAAAAGTTATATGCTTTTATGGACATACACTATAAAGGGGATTTCTTAATTGACATTCAGAGGTCAAACTTATACTGTGCAATCAAGGAGGATTGGCTCCCAGGATCAAAACTCGATATTTTTCAACAATGACAACATCTAAATGTCTTAATTTTTCTGAAATTATAACCGACTGTAAATTCATAAAAAAACGTCCAAAAGATTCGCACCAATATCTCGATCATTTCTTGTAAGTATTGGAAATTTCATTTAGAAATAGGAACAAAATTCACGATTCAAATGTTGAAGTGAACAAAATGGCAGCTGTTTGAATTTGAATTTGGAATCACAACATCTCCAAACTCTTGGAGCCAATCCTCCTTGCTAGCCACTTTAATTAAAGGCAGTGAATTTCAAAAGGTTTATTATTGAGCTTATTCTGATGACACACCACATATTGTTTTTCAGATTGTTCCTATCAACAGGGTAACATGCAATTTACAGTTTTGTATCAGACGGTGCATGCAGCATCTAATTATTCTAATTCTGGTGAGATACTGCCTTATTAGTAGGTAAAATCCAGTCATTTTACCCAATTAGGACTGATCATGTCACAACAAGAAAGTCACACTGATAAATATTATACTACCAAAAATTCAAAATGGCCACCAAGTAATTTACCCAGCATGCCCAAAACCTAAGCAGATCCTGGCACTAGTTTGCTCTTTCATCTGTACAAATTTCAACAGGAAAGAGATTTTCGTGGAATTTTGATGACAAGATTTTTGTGGCAAACACCAATCCACTCAGACAGATGAAAGCCCATTAGAACAAAATAATAACAGTAATACAGCAATTAAAAATATGTGATAACAATAATATGGCATGGTCCACAAATCAAATCTGACTTCCAAACATTCATAAGAAAATCTGTAGAAAAGCCTCTTTGCATAACATTTCCTCCTTTTAATCATTTTTGCTAATTCAAATTCATAAACTTCAGACCAGCAAAATCTATCAATGGCCATCTTTATCAATTTCCATTCTTCCAAAAGTTTGCATATTCCATTTTCTCCTTCCTTCACTTATCCATATTCCCAATGCAATATAAAGAAGATACCCACGCTTAAAAACTCCCTAATATCATGCCTTCTTCACTGTAATTCCTCTATACAATCTAAAACAGTATCTATTTTCCTCAAATTTCTATACAATTTAAGTACCACGAACATATCCATATTCTTCAATCCGTAATGATCCAACACACTTTTATTGTACCTTTTATGTAAAAATATGACCATCGAATGAATTTACTTACGAGCGGCAGTCAGCCATTTTTCTCATTTCCTTAGAATCAATCAATATCTCTGCATGGCCCAGACTATCTATCTAGTATTGAATGAATAAAATGAGATTTTTAAACACTGTATTACTGATAAGGAATGCCAGTACATGTGTGTCTTACTTCTAGTATTTTCTAAATTGCTGATAAAGAGGATACATATATAGTATTACAGTAAAACTTGTAGATACAAACACCAAAAAGAAAAATAAGATATCAGGAAAAATGGTTTTGATTGTAAATAGCAACAGGGCATTTAAATGCAAAATGTCACCACATGCCATTTGTTACAAACACCAATCAAAGAATGCCATACAGCTACAAAAAGTTGGGGACTGTATAACAACAATGTGTCACACAAGTAGTGACATAACAAGTGGTGACATAAACATCTGTGGAAGAAGCTGTTTGATGGAGGCAATGGAGCTCAAAGGGTAATATTGCTGAATTGTTCCATTAAAAAGATTTAATTTTAGGTCGAAAAATATTGGCAGAAAAATAATGTTGTTAAATTAAATGATTTTGACCTTATCCTCAAATAACCTGTATATTTAAGACCATTATTTGGGATAACACTTAAATAACTGATAACAGATATGCAGCATTTATTAGACATTAAGCTGTTTTGTCGTGAGCTCTTTTTTCAAAGGACATTTTATCAGATGGAAGGATAAATAGGCTTTCTGGCACTTTTTATTTTTTGGTTTCTAATATGGGATGATGGCATCATGTCCGTAAATAAATTATTGATGACACTTGCTCATTTATCTCCTTATTTGGCAGTGTAGGAGTATATTTTCTAGAAAGGGCTACGGACACTACGCAACACATTTGCGCACAATAGCGTGAAACAGCCGTATATATTTGAGATGGTAAGGAATACATTGGTAAATCAAAAGTATTAAGGTTGTTTGCAATTTTCACCCCCTATAAGCTCTGATTCTGCCTTTAAACAAAAAAAGATTAACATTTTTCAAATACAAAGTTGTTGAGAAACTTGAAGAAATTTGGAAATTGGAGACAGTTATTTCAAATGTTTGGTCTTTAACTATCAGCACATCCTGGAGTTGGCATCGATCGCTTACAAGGTTTACTAAAAGATGATAATGCAAAGATACTACCCACCCTGAAAAAAGTAAGAAAATGCATGGACACAAGCGTCTTCAAACTTTATTTTATACCAGGAAATAACATGGTCAGGTATATATGCATTTTTCAATAAGGCATGAACATGCAAAATGTCATCATCTGCCATTTGTTACAGATGCCAAATGTCAGACGCTGGAAGCTACTACCATCACAAAAAATTGAGACCATAACAATGTGTCACCACTTTTGGTGATGACATAAAAATGTCTCAATTTAGATTCACCTTAAACTTACTAATCCTGGTGATGGTATTTTCAAATGTTTCTTGCAAGCAAGGCTAAGGTCCCCTTTAAAGGGGAATGAGACAACTTCCTGGTATCAATTGAACTGTTTAGCACCTTTAACTAAATAGACGCCATTGTTATTAGTAAGTAGAGCCTGATATCCAACTGAAAGGAGTGTACTAGTTCCTCATTCATTACAAGAAAAATTTCATTGTTTGTGTTTCATAACAAAATATTTCTTTAGAAATTGTTTTCAAAAGACAGTAGACAAATTGTATAGAAACTGAAGATCATTGAAATGGATCACTGATTTTAGGTGTAAAATTTGTGTCAAATACTGTACCTCTATTAGAACTAATGTTGATTCATTGCTATATGTACTATATATGGTGTCATCTTTAGACTTGTATTTGAGGTTCGCATTAAAGTTGGGAAGTTTACAATTTAGGAAATAAAAAGTATTTGAAATTGTAACTTTTAATGTTATTTTTGTCTCTGACTAATATTTCATTGTGATGACATCAAAGAGTCAATAAAAGATATATATTTAAGAAACTTTCAAGTGAGGTTTTATTAAACATTATTTTAGGCATGGAGTTTCCAATGAAAAACTGGGATAATGTTTTGATTATTTCATGTAAGAATGTCTCAATTATGTACCAAAGAAGATTTTTTGGCTGATCTACCAATGTATCCATAGTTATTTTGGGTCTAAATTTTGCTCATGTATACCTGTATAATTCATGATATTTTAATTGTTTAATTAGCATAAGGGTATAGTGTAAGATTGTTTTAATTGTCAAACTATTCTTCAGTATTGGAGGCTAAATAAATAAATATAAATAATACAAACCTTTCTTTTCTAGTAGCAATTTTTGGGGGTTAGGTTTCTATACTTTTAATGCGTCAATTCACCATCCTAGCTGCGCATACCTTGATTCTCATCTCCTGAAACAGAAAAAAAACATTTTTAAGATAACTGTCACAATCTCTTCAGTTATTTATAGTCAGTTACTGTAGGCATGTATTTTAGGTATACATTGTATTATAATCTATAGAATCCACTTTGGTAACTTTTTTTGAGTGTCGTCTTTAAAATGCAGAGGGGAATAAGTTATGCACAAAATTATCATCCCATTTTCATCATATTGAACTTTTGCAGCCATTTTGGAAATTAGCTGCTAAGTAATTCTTGTATTTTTGATAGAGACATGTCCAACACAGAAAGGTTTTAGTGGGTCAACAAAAATGCTCCCCTTTCAAGTAGTCTCTGACAAGGACATTGGAGAATGCTAACCTATACTCTAGTTCAAAAATCTATTTTCATCATATTAATCTTTTGCCGCCATTTTGAAAAATGGCTGCCAAAAATTAGAATGAGATATAGCATGTCAGCCTTATCAAAAAATAAGATAAAAAACTCCTGTTTTACTTATTTTAATTTATAACCACCATTTTGAAAGAAGTTCTTTAAATGTATTTTCTGAAAAGGACACATTTGAGTGTGCCTAACCTATATTCCAGGGCAAAAAATAATCATTACATATCTTGATTTAAGTGTGAAAGTGTGATTTAAAAGTTGAATAACAGCCATTTTAAACAGTTATACAAATAAACTACAATATACATGTATCAGGCTATTTATCTATCTACATAATTATATATATAGAAAAACGGTAACATAGAATTTATTTTAAATTAAACAGTTGATCAAGTGCCTTTATACTGTAGAGGCCATAGAATCTATTTTGCATTGATGATTCACAGTACATAAGTCTGCACTACTTGAATCAAATACATTTGTCAGATATAAAATATTGATTAAAAGTACATGTAAATTTAATCTTGATGGGTACCTAACCCTGAACTGGAGGTTATGTTCACAAATCGTCAAAACACACCAATACTTTAGGCTAGGCCAAAATAGTTGCATTTAAAGGTAAATAGTAGCAATATGAGATTTTCTCAGGTTTTACGAACAATTGCTTGTTGTTGCACAAAGATTTTGGATATATTTCCATGATTTAACACCAACAGTTTTGCCTGTTGTTAATGTCTGGCAGTTCCGTCTGTAGTTTTCATCTATTTTCCTGTTGTCAGGTAGCAGGTAGAAATATTGAGAAAAAGAGCTTAACTTGATCAAATTCCTAATAATTTGTATAAACATGTAATGCCTTAAAGCAACAAAAATTAATATATTTATTCAAACATTCAACAATATTGAAAAAAATTTCAATTTGCATGTTCTTAGGACAAAGTATTTTTTTAATGAGTAAACATTTTCCAAACTGTCAAAGAGGTCTAAAATCTCAGGGCCTCAATGACCAGTAAAAGGAAATGTCTTTTTCTTAGCCTTATATTATATTAGCAATTTATAATCTTTCTCGAAGTGATGTTATCTCAATTTATATTCTACTTTAAAGTTAGTTATATTTGTTTTATCAAATGTTAAAGGTTATTTACTATAAAGGGTAACCTAAAAATGTATAACTTTGGAATTACCTTCTTAATTTTTGGTTACCCAGTACTCTAAATACAATGCAATCATTTTAGGTTATAAATTAATTAGCATATGAAGGAACACATCAACATATATATTTTTATGCCTTAAACCAGCTTCCAGTATTATTTTTCACACATTCTACCAGTTCTCGATATATTACTGCAATATTATTCTTTACACACTTGACCAGTTGTAGAGATACAACCAGTATAAAGGCCCGGTCACACCGCCCAAACGGGCAAACAAAAACACGGGCGTTGGCTTAGCGGTGCACCGCTGAAGCCGGCGTTGCTTTAGCGTTGGTTAAGCGGTTGCGAGCGGTAGCTAGCGTTTGTTTAGCGGTAATGCGAGCGTTGGTATAGCGGCGTTCTGCGCATGAGAGCGTTGCCTTGGCGGGGGTATAAATAGCAGCAGCGTTGGTTTAGCAGCATATCGCGTTTGACTACTGGGAAATTATTTCAAGTGGGAAGTGTTTAAGAGTAAAGACCTTTATTGGAATTTGTAACTTTAACAAAAGTCCTTCAAGGATTAAAGAAGAAATGTTTTAAATCTAAAGTGCTTCTATTAATGTAATATGACATTAAGAATGAATAACATTACAATTTTCTTTAATAATCTCTCATATCATTTCAAACAAACATATCACAATTTAATCGTTGCATTTCCATTACTTGGAACCGATTTACGTTCAAATTGCTTTAACAATGTCAAATAACATTTATAGCAAAGTAATAATCATGACGCATGACAAATTTTTGCATTGCTGCATATTTGAATAAAGGTCTCAGTAAAAGTCTATTTGTATTAACATTTAATGAAAAACAAAAATCGCATAATTCACCTTTTTAAAATCCAAAATCACAAACTTTGAGTGCTTAATTTTTTAGGAATTTACAATGCAAAAAATTGAAATGCCAGACATGAATATATATCAAATGTAAAATGCACAAGTGTCTCCACAGTGTTCTACACAGTGGTGCATTTCTCCACGTATTTATAGCCAAATTCTGGTCCCGCTCCGACACCTCTATACCAACGCCAAAGCAAAGTTCATCGCCGCCATGGAACGCTGCGACAAGGTCCGACACAGTTCCAACAGCCCCATGTACGCTGATAAAACGCTAACAACCGCTCCACCGACGTTTGTGCAACGTTTAATCGCCCGGCAACGCTGGCGAAGCAGCGGTGGTCCAGCGTTTAAGATTTCTGCGTTGGTCTAGCGGATTCAAGCGTCCACGAACTTGCGTCTAGCGGTGCCAAACTTTGACTGGGCGTTGGTGGATCGGTGATAAACTTTGCCAGGGCGTGAAATTGTCCCTTTTTCAACGCTCGCAATATTTTGAGCAGCTCAAAACTTTTGGAGCGTTAGGATGGCCACTCGAGAAACATCCGCGTTGGCCGAGCGTTTACAGCGTTGCTTTAACGGATGCCAACTTTTGTTAAATGGTGGTGAACGTTTACGAGCGTTGATGATTTTTTTCAACGTTCAAGGAACACTCCAGCAACGTCTAGGCGGTGTGACCGGGCCTTTACCACTGAATTTCTTTTCACACATCTAACCAGTTCTAGAGATATTACTGAATATATGAACAGTATATACCCCATCAAAATCTTAGTCACCAATTAAATCATATACTTTCATAATTTAAGTTCTGGCACATTAATATTTCAAATTCCCATTAAAGCCTAATGACTGCCACTTTAGGGGTAATTTGGATCTCATAACCATTAATAATAATGTATTCATGTGTATAGGTTATAGGTTCTGACATTATATACAAGGTACAGGGTGTTCAAACAAAAACGCAACCCAAGGAAATTGCTATATCTTGGAAAAAACTAATCCAATTGTGTTCATTTTTTCAAGAAGAGACTGTGTATGTATAGCTCCTGTTCTTAGCTAAATAGAAAAAACATGAATGGAAAATCGCTATATCTTGGAAAAAACTTATTCAATTATGTTCATTTGTTCAGGAAAAGAAAAAAGAGACTGTGTATATATAGCTCCTGTTGTTAGTTAGTTGTAAAACATGATGCCTTGGACACCTGTTCAAAAGACAGTTGTACTAGCAAAATACGAAAAACACAGTCAGGGGGGACTGCAACAGCAATACAAGGCATTAACATGACAAAATGTCACCACCTAAAACAATTTGGTCAATTTAAAGCAAGTTGGAAAATACCTTTTGACCTTAAGAAGAACTTCTGAGAACATGTAGATGATTTTGAAAAAAAAATTAGTCAATTTGAAGCAAGTTGAAAAAAGACCTTTTTGACCTTGAGAAGGTCATTGAAGGTCAAAGGTCAAATCTAAAGTCAGATTTGAACTTCTGAGAACTTGTAAAGTCAAATTTGAACTTCTGAAAAGATGTAGATGATTTTGAAAAAAAATTTGGTCAATTTGAAGCAAGTTGAAAACAGACCTTTTTGACCTTTTTTGACCTTGAGAAGGTCATTAAAGGTCAAATGTCAAATCTAAAATCAGATTTGAATTTCTGAGAACATGTAGATGATCTTGAAAAAAAAATTAGTCAATTTGAAGCAAGTTGAAAAAAGACCTTTTTGACCTTTTTTGACCTTGAGAAGGTCATTGAAGGTCAAATGTCAAATCTTAAGTCATATTTGAATTTCTGAGAACATGTAGATGATTTTGAAAAAAAATTTAGTCAATTTGAAGCAAGATGAAAAAATACCTTTTTTGACATTGAGAAGGTCATTGAAGGTCAAATGTCAAATCTAAAGTCAGATTTGAATTTCTGAGAACATGTAGATGATTTTGAAAAAAAAAATTAATCAATTTGAAGCAAGTTGAAAAAAGACCTTTTTGACCTTTTTTGACTTTGAGAAGGTCATTGAAGGTCAAATGTCAAATCTTAAGTCAAATCTAAAGTCAGATTTGAATTTCTGAGAACACGTAGATGATTTTGAAATTTATTTTTAGTCAATTTGAAGCAAGTTGAAAACAGACCTTTTTGACCTTTTTTGACCTTGAGAAGGTCATTGAAGGTCAAATGTCAAATCTTAAGTCAAATCTTAAGTCAGATTTGAATTTCTGAGAACACGTAGATGATTTTGAAAAAAACATTTAGTCAATTTGAAGCAAGTTGAAAACAGACCTTTTTGACCTTTTTTGACCTTGAGAAGGTCATTGAAGGTCGAATGTCAAATCTAAAGTCAGATTTGAAGGTCAAATGTCAAATCTAAAGTCAAATCTAAAGTCAGATTTGAATTTCTGAGAACATGTAGATGATTTTGAAAAAAAATTTAGTCAATGTGAAGCAAGTTGAAAAAAGACCTTTTTGACCTTGAGAAGGTCATTGAAGGTCAAATGTAAAATCTAAAGTCAGATTTGAACTTCTGAGAACATGTAGATGATTTAGAAAAAAATTGAAGTCAGTCTTAACAGTATTTGTTAAGTTATAGGAAGTTGTAAGAAATTGTTACAGACGCCGGACGCCAGACGCCAACCGCCGTCGCAAAAAAACGGAGACCATAACAATATGTCACCACTTTTGGTGGTGACATAATAACAAAAAAACGGAGACCATAACAATATGTCACCACTTTTGGTGGTTACATAAAAACCAAAAAATAACTTTCTAACCATAGTTAATCTACAGATTTACCATACATTGAATGAAGATGATTTGTGCCAAATTTTGAAGAGCCAAAACACTATGGTTAGCAGGTTATTTAGTTTTTTTGCAGTTGCAGTCACCTCTGACTGTGTTTTTCGTATTTTCCTAGTACAACTGTCTTTTAAACAGGTGTCCAAGGCATCATATTTTTCAAGATATAGCGATTTCTTTGGGTACGTTTCTTTTGAACAGCCTGTATCCAATCCTTTTCCTTTTCTGAGAGGAAATGTCTAATATGAGTCAAGCTTCTAAACTGTACAGAGTAAACATAAAACATCTAATGAATCACTCATTTCACCTTGGGGGAGCTAGCTCATAATAAACATTTTACAACTTTGAAGTGAAGATATGTCTCTGAATTCTATAAAAGAATAGAATAACAATATATGAAATTTCAAGTTTTTGTGCAAAAAATATAGGCACATTCTACTACTAATTTACAAATTCTCTGTAATCTCTGCAGAAGCTGAAAATATATGCTTCCTTAACATTTCTGTAGGTCTGTAGTGATCCTATACCAGTATGCTATCCTGTTGATCAAAGGCACTACCTTTTCCATAAAACCATCTCTTAAATTACATAAATATTCTAAATGCCTGTTTTTTGCAGTTTTATATAATTGTGAACTGGTTAAATTACTCTTCTTGTTTTCTTGATAATGCATTTTTCTGCTTTTCTTAAATCATGTGTCTAACATGATTTTTTTTCTTTTGGTTTCCGTTACAAATTGGAAGGTTTTCCTGCCTTGAGGTTTGTAGGATCAAGTTACAAATAACATGGGCAGCTGCTTTCCATTTGCTCAGACTCCAAGTTGAGAAAGTTTATCGGAATATGTAGCTGAAAGAATGGAGACAGCAGAAAACAATACAAGGACTGGAGACTTATGAAAAATGAATTCAAATGATTGAGTAATTAAATAAGTTTAAAGTGTCTCTGAATCTCATTGAAAAAGTAAAAAATTTATAGTTGATAATTACTTTTCCTGCACTAGCCAAAAATATTGACCCTTTTTCAAAATTAAATAGAAAATCTGGCAATTCTTTTTAAATTAGGCCAAAAAGCCTATTTTTAGAAACAGAATGAAAAGTTTGGTACCAAAAATTCTTAGGCGAGAGGAGCCAATGTACTGGTGTAAATTATGATAGATGCTATTCTCAAAAGCAAACCTAGGTATCAGAAAAGGCCAGAATAACATTTTAAATTTAGGTACAGGGATTGACTTTGAAACTCAAGGTGCAACAAATTGAAACTCAAAGGGGCAACAAGGAGTGTAGAGAGAAAATATGATTTTTTTGATTTTTTCTGAGCTATCACGTCAATATTTGGCTTAACACTTTCTTTGACGTACCTATTTTCTTAAAATGTATGTATAAGCTATCAATTTCAGCAGTAAGAAGTGTAAATTCAGTTCAAAGCTTCTATAAAGGGAGTCCCACTTTATAGAAGATTTGTTTAAAATTTGTTTAGAAGATATTTCTTTGATTTTTGGTAGCTACCATACAATGAGATGTCTTTTACCTGAGAATGAAAAAAACACTCTGAATAAATTAAACGGCTGTGATAAAAAAGTGTAAATTTTACAAAGAGGATTTTAATCCAATCAAGTTTTATGATTGTCTAATAATTTGGCCAAAAAATACTTTTTCAAGTGACAGAAAACTAAACTTCAATTTCGAAGAATTCGTAATATGAAGAAAGCTCAATGATTTATGATCAAGCATACCTCTTATGGTGATGTATCTGTTTATTTACATTATCAAACATAAAGAACACAAAAAATATTATCCCAACCTTCTGTGAAATATAATGCTCATATACAATTTTAAGTGCCTTTGCATTTGTGTATACAGTGATTATCTCTGCCATAAATCAGAAGTTGTTTACAAAATTAATGACCATGACATTGGCTATTTATTTTGAGTTAGCAAATATACTAACATAAGAAAAATGCCCAACTTTACAATATATGTGTGTTGAAATATTTTGAAAAAGAGAGATAGAAAATGAATCTTCAAAAACAAGACCTTGAAGTTGGCAAAGGGGTACATTGGCCCCATTCTGATACTCATAGCATCTTTCTGTTTCAACTCATCTCAGGGCTGAGAAGATTTGAGATGTCATGGTTTGTCGTGATGCATTGGCCCAGGTTTTCAAAAGTTCAGACCAATTTTTCTTAATAAGACCCTTCTAAAGAAGCCTATCTTTAAGAACGAGAGATAATAAAAGAAGTTAAGACTTTCGCTAATATGTGATGCATTTTAAATCAGGTTGATATGACCTTACTGGATTGACAAAAGGGACTGAAAACTCTACATAGTGGCAGGAAATTAAATAAGAAGGTGACCTTTTAGACTACAAAACAAAGGTGCACAAAATAATTGATTTAGATGTTCTACTTGCAGAGGCAACGGTAAGAAACATTTTTGATCGGCCCTTGTATACAAACTTCAAAAGAGAAAAGGAAACCCAAGAGATTACCATATTTTTTAAAACCTTTTTACAATTTTGAATCAACCATTTTGTTTTTGTTACCTCCTATGTTATTTGACCAATCAGTGATGAGGGTCATATCTATTTGAATTTGAGGTCATTGAACTCTGGGTTTTTCCGTCTTTTTGAAGTTGTTTACCATGCAGCAATAATAAGAATTTCTAAATGATCTTTGTAAAAAAGTAAGGGCTATTCAGTGGTTTCATAAAAAATACATCAATAGAGCATTTAAAGCATTTTCAGGACCAATAAAACAAGGCCAGCTTTTATGAAGGTTATAAGGTTGAGAAGGTTGTTTGTTTACAAAAACATGTTCTGATACAACTCAGCATAGTTCATACAAATGAAACACAAAAGTTGTTGGTGCGCTAGAGCAATATAGCACTGTTTGAGAATGTAAAAACCTTTTAAGTGAGAGCCATCTATATTACAATTCTCAAAGCATTTTCATTGACACCTTTAACACATAACTGTCCTGGCGTGTATTGGGGACTAATATACTTTGTAAGCAAATTAAAGGCAATTAATGTAATTCAATTTAATTTAAGGAATTAATTTAATGTTAAGTCTGACTCCCTGTAAATATTTAATTAAATAATTCCTATATACAGGGTAGGCAATAAACAGCGATTTTTTTTGTTAGGCTATGCATTTTTTAGAGATAAACGTTATTGAAAAAAAAATTATTGTACGGTTATGAGATACTAGGATAGTGAATGTCAAGTCAATTAACAATGACAGATTTATATTTGATGGAACAATATTCCAGTGATTTCATTTTTTCTGAAAAATTGTTCACATAGTAATAAGAGGAGGGAAAGCCCCAGAGTTTAAAGATGACAGACATAATTACCTCTCTTGCTTACCACCTTTGTTCGTTCGAATTTTTCATTGGCTAGTTATCAAATACTACACTTCGATGGGACGTTTTAATTGACATAGGCATATTCCGTACACCTTTCTTTATCTTGATGTGAAATGAGAAGCTATGATATTGGTTAACACGCCAGAAATGAACATAATATTATTCGAAGCGTATTTCGAAAATTTTGAAACCGCCATTGTTGACGTCATTTGTTTGTCGACTTTTGACCAATCAGAGATATAAGTCATCTCAATACAGGTTTACATTATAAGCGTATGTCATCTTTGAACTCTGGTGTTATTCCCCCTCTGCATAGTAATGAATGATGAGCACACATTGCCTTGTGTGATGATAACTTTAAAGGAATGAAATTCTTATGTTCTCTAACTATTCTATAATTCTTATGTTCTCCACAATTCGTATGTCCTCTTCCTATTCCATAATGATTATCAAATACCAAGTACATGTTGACACAAAATGGTAGATTGGATTCCAAAATTTCTTCATGCCTTGCCAAATTCGAAGAATTAAATTGCCACATGGTTATCAAAACATTGTCCCATTGTGTTTGTTGTTATTAGACGAAAGTAATGAGATAAATCTACCCCTATTTTGATTGGCTGATCATATTATTTAGTCGGATAGAACGGTTTAACCAACCACACAATGCAAGGTTCCCAAGAGTGTCTTCAAGGAATCCTGGGTCAAATCCTCTTCGCCGACACAGTCACTTTATTCGAATGGGTTTCTATTTATGTATCATAAACACTTTCTTGTCTCTTTAGGGTAATAAAATACTAATATCAAAGCATAAACAAACTTTTGGACAACATTCCATTTCAAAACAATAAACACAATTCAGATAATAAATAATAGCATTTTTCCACAAAAGGCAATCAAAGCAACAAGTGACGAAAGAAGACCATAGACTGACCTACTTTATGTTTACAAATTACTTTGTGACAATCCTTTGATTTATTCAAAATACCGCATTGACATCTCGGCGGATAATTCGAAATAGAAAATAAACAAACTTTTGTAATACATACCTTTTGATAGAACAGTTATTTTTGAGAACTCGTGTGTTCTTTATTTGTATGTAGGTACGCTAACGATGTAGAAATCAGACGTTGAAATGGACGAAAATATACCAAAATTTAGTCCATATGTCTTGCCCAATCGTGACGTCAAATTGCTTTCCATGACACACCCAAAATCGATTATGCGTTTAGTCAATATTTCCCTTTTTTGTTCATTCAAAGCTATAAATATTTTGTTAATTAATTTTTATTAGTACATATGCTCCTATTATGCCATGAACATTTATCTTTGAATTTATTTATTTTGTCTACGCCTAGATATAAGTAAAATACTGAATTACACTGGACGGAAACTAAGGAAAAGTTGTCTCAAATAAAATTACCGGGTATAACTTGCGCCCGATGTAAAGCAAAATTAAAGATCTCATTTGGGATATTCTTTAGGATTAGGATCAGAAAACGCCCTTTGAATTTAAGGATGAGGATTCGGTTTGCTTGTTTCTTTTTATTTTTGACTTTGATAAGGCAAGCCTCATCCACACCTGAAACCTCAGTGTTCCAGATTGTGTAGTTGGACACCTTGATGAAGTGTTAAAGATGAAAATCGGAACTTAGTTTCCTTACCCGGCATTCCGTATTGTTTTCTTTGACAAAACACTTTTAATGTAATAAGAGATTGATTACTGGAAACAATGCTTCATATCCGCCCTTTTTCAGCATTTACATTTATATCTGGATCTTGAAATTTTTCCCTTTTTTTCCTTTGTTAAGTTGGATACCTTGATGAGTTTAAGGTGAAAATCAGGTCTTATATCAGCGTTTTCCTTACCAATCGACACGACCTGTTATAAATACACGTAAGTGACGTTATTATCACAAAGCTATTGTCAGTGTTGTATGTATGGGGTGGGGGAGTGAACGGAGGGGGGCATTGTATCTAATAGATATATGGTAAAGTAACTTGACTTTATTTCGAATAGCTCCAAATCCTATTTCCACTCTTCAGTGTTGTAACATCAAGTTGTATCTGAGTTACTGAGTTCATTTTTCAAATACACAAATTTGAGGGGATTTCTTCGACCTTAGTAATAATACTCCTCCTCCATTCACCCCCCCCCTCCGTTCAATTTTAATTTTTTTCGAACTCACATATGTCCCCGTGTCGTGCGCCAATAGGGGGTTTGACTTTCTCTTGAAAAAACAAATCTTCCAGATTTGTTGAATTTTCTAGCGAAAATCAGCTACTCCCCCTCCGTTCATTTCTTCCGATCACCGGGCGTGTTACAGGCATGCAGCAATAATTTCCCAAAGTGTGGATTTCCTTTCATTTTTGCAAACCACACATAGGGGATCGAGGTTGATTTTGAAGCCACAGCCGCAAAACGTTTTCTATTAAAAATGCCTGCACTAGATAAATTTGTTTATAAAATATTGACGAATCAACTAAAAAAAGTTTATGTTACTCCGTTTCTTACATGCACATGTGTAAGGCTAGAAGTTTTGATTCCCAATGTTAGGGACGGGTTGGGGAATGTGAAAAAAGGGGATCAAGAGCCCGTGATCAAGAGGCTGTATAATCTCCTAAACTGAACAACGGGATTAAAAAAAAAATTGCACATTTGAAAGGTCGATAATTAAAGTTGATTTCAAGAAAATAAAAATCATAGGTCAACGTTATTTCAATGCTCTTCGAAAAAACACAATTTTTGATTATTTTATGTGTTTTCCTCAAATATTTCGGTACCTAAGTGCAACGAGTCGACGATACATCAAAAATGCCATGTCTTGGTTTCCGTACATGATCCGTCAAATCAATCAAAATAAAGTGTGACATCACGAAAAATAGTTGTCCTCATTACTCCTAAACACTGTTCCACTGGATGAACTTTCTTGTTACGATTTTTTTGTTTTCTCGATTTAAACCTACTTATAAACCGGCTTATAAGTCAAGTTGCAGATTATAATTTGCACAAAACTAGAATATAGTCTAGTTATAATAAATTTCTTCGATTTGGAATTTGTTTTGTATAAAATGAAGTTGCAATTCATATACTTAGCCCCTCACTCTTGTTACGTTGACGAAAGTCCGTTATATTACAAATGTATGTTACTTTGAAAACTAACGTCAATGTAACAAATGCGATGGTCCAAATGCATCAATTAAAGCTTTACTTAAAAATCAAATTCCAAACCGGGAACATTTCTAAAGGCTAGACTACATTGTCTAACTTTGTGCCAAATGATAATCCGCAAGATCACTTATACGTAAGTTTAAATCGAGAAAACAAAAAACTCCTATCCATGAAGTTCATCAAATATATTATCAATAAGAAAGCCTAACACCTCACAGAATTGTACTGCAGTGAAAGAAATATACTTATCATATTGTTCACGAGAAAAGAAAGCCCTATTTGAATTACAGTTAACATATTTAAATTTACTACCCGTCATTGTCTTTTTATTATTTCCAAATATTTCATCTTTTAACTTGTCATGAGTAATTGATGTGTAAAGTGTAGAAAAATCCTACGTGAAATACATTTAACTTTTGAATAAATCGGGTCATTAAATTTTGATAAAAGATCTTTTGAATTTTTAAGGATCCACATATAGTTAACCCCACAATTTCTAAAAATAGCCTTACAATAAGTCTCCCTTTTATTTTTAACAGTTTGAACACCTTGTCAATAGTCCAGAAACTTTTTTAGTGGAACAGACTCTAGATCCAGCAATAAACCTAGCTTTATAAGGGGCTTTATGTAACTTTGGTGTCCAGTAAATTTTCGGCAAATGTTCCTGTTACTCTGTTGGTTTAATCTTATAATTATTCAAAAAATTTAGATGGATCTTGACTATTTCCCCTTCATTAGAATTAACCTGTAACATATGTCTTATTTACAACATTTTGATTTGAAATACCTAATTCAGCCATTAACAAATAGAACTTTTTACAAATCACTATTACATTATTAGCAGCTTTGTCTGCAGGGACCAATTCAAACTTTGGGGATTTTTCCAAATATTCAATAACCTTTGGATCATCTAAAACTTTACTGGGACTTTCAAGATACAAGAAAGGCTTGTTTTTGAAACAAGTTTTTATTTATTTTTTTTGAATTTCCTGAGAAAGGACCTTATACACCTCCATTGGGATCTCCCCATGGGAAAAAAATAATTCATCTGATTTTTCAAAATGAGTATTCTGCTTCAATTATTACATTTATATGCACACTAGTATCTTGTTGACCTATATTCAGCACTGTATTGATGTATAGGCCACTTATTAGGGTCATAATTCAATCATGAAGTGTAGAGGCATAGATTCCAAACCAGGAAGTATTTTTGTGTCTGTCAAAATCCATTTACATACTATGCATCATAGTGACACGGTTGAATGATTTTGTGCCAGAAATCTTGTTTTTGTTAAACATTAGAGTGTTTCAAGACTTTTTGTGCAATTTAAGCCCAATCGCACCAATACAAGAGCTTTTATAGCTGCTTTGTTAACCCTGGGGTCATTTATTTTAGGGCCATGCAGTTTTATACCTAACTGACCATTTTTGCAATAGAAATACTGCTACTCGCTATGGCTTAACAAAAATTCACAATATTTAGCATGTCAAAACGTTTATTCGTACTTCCATAATGTTTATTGCCAAAATCACTGAACCATGAAACAAAAAAATGGTCAAATCTAGTCATTTTTGATCAGAGATTACCCCAAATTATCCATTATTTAGTGATTAATTTTCAGTAAATGAGCTTCTAAATTAAATTATCATATCAGTTTTGCATAGCAATGTTCTTGTTTTAATTGCATGCATGTTAGTAACTGTTTTCAACCATATTTAGTCATTCTATGGGGTTAAATGTGTCAATTTTGTCATATATTTTCAAGAAAAATTCAGACACAAAGGAAAAAGCTGTATTACATGCTATGATAATGGCTAAATCCTTAAATTCGGTAATAATTTGATAAAAGCCTGACAACAACCTCTGAAAACCAACACTAACAGCCCTCTTGTGCTACCCTGTAACAAAATACAGGCCAAAAATGGTCAAAACCTGTGATTTTTAGGTAAAAAATTAAAAAAATGCTGAATCAGCGAAAATCTAAATTGCTAATTCTTCGGATAATTTGATTTTTCTTAGAGATGCAAGGTACACATTGCTAAGAAAGTGTAATTTTTACAAAAATAACGCTATTTCCCACCCTAGTACTATCACCACCCTGTTAATAGTGACACGGTTGAATGATTTTGTGCCAGAAATCTTGTTTTTGTTAAACATTAGAGTGTTTCAAGACTTTTTGTGCAATTTAAGCCCAATCGCACCAATAGAAGAGCTTTTATAGCTGCTTTGTTAACCCTGGGGTCATTTATTTTAGGGCCATGCAGTTTTATACCTAACTGACCATTTTTGCAATAGAAATACTGCTACTCGCTATGGCTTAACAAAAATTCACAATATTTAGCATGTCAAAACGTTTATTCGTACTTCCATAATGTTTATTGCCAAAATCACTGAACCATGAAACAAAAAAATGGTCAAATCTAGTCATTTTTGATCAGAGATTACCCCAAATTATCCATTATTTAGTGATTAATTTTCAGTAAATGAGCTTCTATATTAAATTATCATATCAGTTTTGCATAGCAATGTTCTTGTTTTAATTGCATGCACGTTAGTAACTGTTTTCAACCATATTTAGTCATTCTATGGGGTTAAATGTGTCAATTTTGTCATATATTTTCAAGAAAAATTCAGACACAAAGGAAAAAGCTGTATTACATGCTATGATAATGGCTAAATCCTTAAATTCGGTAATAATTTGATAAAAGCCTGACAACAACCTCTGAAAACCAACACTAACAGCCCTCTTGTGCTACCCTGTAACAAAATACAGGCCAAAAATGGTCAAAACTTGTGATTTTTAGGTAAAAAATGAAAAATGCTGAATCAGCGAAAATCTAAATTGCTAATTCTTCGGATAATTTGATTTTTCTTAGAGATGCAAGGTACACATTGCTTAGAAAGTGTAATTTTTACAAAAATAACGCTATTTCCCACCCTAGTACTATCACCACCCTGTTGCTAATAGGGTCAAGATTGCAGTAAAAAATCCCATTGACGACCATTATAACGTTTCATTTCATAATATATTCATGGGCACAGATCTAGCTCAGCGAAACAGTGCCCAGTGTTCACTGGAGTCTTGTCTAGCTTGCCGTTACAAAATAAGCATACGGTGACCACACCGTTTTTGAGATAACTGAATCTGGAGAGAGCTACCACCGTAAAGCTACCTGTTTCAGAAAATTATTCTGCTCTACATAGTCTCAAAAATCACTCCGCCATCTCTAAAAATTCTGTTTCTAACCAAACTTGTAAATGTTTCCTGATAGATTAGTACTTACTTACCCATTTTTCTATAGTCATTTTGTAGGGAAAAAAATGATGAAAAAATGTACAATCTTTTAATTTTAAGTATGACCTGAATCGATTGCAAACTTCATATTTGCACATTTGATGAGATAAACCATTTGTGTCGCATTGTGAAATTATTAAGTTTGCAATCGATTCAGGTCATAGTGTATTTTTGGTATTTCTGTGATCATCAATGGAAACTCATGTTAAGTCAATGGTGCACAGCCCCATATAAGTCAATACAACCTTACTGAACGAAATGATCCCTATCTCAGCTTATGTGTGTCCGAGCACTTTAATATTTTCCAAAGTATTATATGACATTTTATTCTTCATGTTACACCTACGAATGATTCATTTTGACCATAGGGATATTTGCCAATAATTGCACCTTGTCCTTTTAACACTATAACAGGTATTTATCGAATTGTTGAAAAAACATTTTTTGAAGCATTTTAGAGGTGGAGGTGCGCCCCCGTCGCCACCCCAAAGATCTGCTAGTGAGTTACATTCACGCTCACTTTTTTCTTCTGAAACTCAGCCTTTTCCTTGCCGTTTTACAAACGTATTGATCACGTGATTTATATCGTTTTAGTTTTCTGACCTTACCGCTGCTGCGCTGGATACAATCAAATTTTAGGAAGATAATGATAACAATTTTTCTCAAATATTCATGAATTCGATCAAGTCTTGATGGTTGTTTTATAAGCAACTGAGCTATATTTAACTAAGGGAAATAGAATTTTAGCTGTAGTCCCAATTAGTCAAGGAAGGGCAATAGGCCCGCCTTTATTGATAATTTTCACCGCTGAATAAAAGTTTGTATTTCATACCTACTGAGGTTCTAGGTACATAACGAGCGGGAATATATACTGTATCTTGCCAAGGCCCGGGGCGGGATGGATACACGCTGTATCCATCCCAGTACCGCTCCTGAAATTTTTTTTCACATTTTTTCAAATTTTTTTTGGATTTTTTTCAAATCTTTTTTCAAAAATATTTTCTCATTTTTTCCAAAATTTTTTTTACATTCTTTTTCAAAATTTTTTTTTGGGGATTTTTTCAAATTTTTATTTCAAATTTTATTTTTCAAAATATGAGTTATATGAGTTTGAAAATCTCAGAAACTTAAAAAACCACTTTATAACAACAAGAAAATGCGTATCTTAAGTATATTTTTGAATTTTGGAACTTTATAAGGTATATGACGTACCTAGAACATCAGTCGGTATGAAAATCGGTTTTGGATACAGGGTTTATCCCTCGGGAAATATGTGTATATCCCTCGGTCCCTGCGGTCCCTCGGGATACACACATATTTCCCTTAGGATAAAACCTGTATCCAAAACCTCCCAGTACATAACCCTTATATATACAGGGTGTCCCGAAAGCCCCCCCCCCTCCCTAGGCAGACATATACCAGTGTTGTCATAGTATATGTCATATATCATCTTAAGGCTTATCCAAAGTTGCATTCATGATTTGCCGAGTATCATGGTTCAACTCTGAAATGGGAAAAAGTTATAGTCATTTTAAAATTTAGAGTTTGGCCAAAATATTTTTTACACCACAATACTGGTCAATGTGTCCTCCCTTGGCCATGTTACAGCAGCAATTCTTTTCAGATATGACCTTAAAAGCCCTATAAATAGGGGTGTGTAATCCTCTTAAAACCTTTAAGGCACTTTAGAAGAGTTTCCTTGGAGTATTTACCCTCACTACACCGTTCTCTTTTTCCAACTCAATATACATCCGACCCGAAAAGAATTGTTGCTGTTAAGATGGTGTAGTGTAGTGATTTGGTGTAAAATTCAATTTTATTTTGGCCAAACACTAAATTTTGAAATACCTGTAATTTTTTCACATTTGAGGGTTGAATCATGAAACTTGGCGAATCAATGTAACTTTGGATGAGCTTTAACATGGAAGGTATATGTCTGCCCAGGGGGGGGCATACTTTCGGGACACCCTGTACATGTATTGTTGAGTTCTTTTGACATAAATAAAATAAAGCTAAATGATTGCATTATACAACTTGATAATACCATAGAAAATCACATCAAACTGCAGCATCATAAAGCAACAGCTACAATACAATGTAAGCGTAACTGATCCATATTAAACGTAAGATACAAGAAAGGCTGGGAAGATGTCATCAAAAATGACTTTGGCACGGTTGTATACTGGGCGATTTATGCCGAGGGAATTCGAAATATACAGAATGTGGGCTGAGAGAAAACATAGACCGAAGATAAACTCTATGTCCAAGCAGAGATTGTACATGATAGATTTATCCCATGCTCAAGTTTCTGGGTACATTCTACCTTGTAAGGTTTCAAAATTTAGATATATTGTAAAAGTGTATATTGTGTTAATTGAAGTTAACGCGTATAAAACACCGACATATACCAGTATATAAATGATCTCCCTGAAACCTTATCAAGCAAATGCTATATTTATGCAGATGACACATCTCTATACCAACTATATTCCAAATCAAATCTCATTGAAAGTAACACAGTTTTACAATCTGATCTTAATTCAATTTTTCAATGGTCCCAGACATGGAAAATGAACTTCAAGGCCTCTAAAAGCAAAGACATAATTTTCTCAAACCCAAGGAAATGTGAATATAACGTTCCTGACCTCAAAATTGGTAACGATGTTCTACCTCGAGTTGATCATCATAAACATTTAGGGCCTCATACTAGACAAACAACTTTTGACCAGAGCTCACCAAGAGGATTGATAAACTATTAAACCCACTTAAATCAACAAATTAAATGGAAAACACCTGGAATTAATCTTCAAATCTTTCATACTTCCAATTTTCGACTATTGCGACATTCTTTATGGTTGTGCAAATATAAGTAAATTAAAATCCATTGATCAATTATACTACAAAGCAGCCTGCATTTGCGCAGGTGTACTACATGGAACATCTTCTACAAAAGTCCTTAACTGCTTAAATTGGCCAAAGCTATCTGATAGAAGACAAATGCATAGACGTTTCCTAATGTACCGAGCTTACAACAATAAACTTCCATCCTACGTTTTGAGCATTTTTAATCAATATCGTAGAAATCTTCCATCAATAACACGAAGAAGTCGTGACTACCAAATTCCAATCAAAACCTCAACATTTTCAAATAGATCATGCATATTTAAATCCATTATTGACTGGGAGTCTCTCCCATCCGAAATTAAAGAATCACCAAATCTAAATATTTTTAAATCGAATGTAAAGAAAAAATTAATGACTACTTATATCATTAATTCCTCTGAGATCTCCTTGACAAGGAGCCAAGAAATTTCTCTGAACAAGGTGCGCTGTGATCTGATCTTCCAGTCCCATTTTTACGCCCACAATTTTACTAATGTACCATCCCCTACATGCAAATGTGGGTATAGCAATGAAACATCCATTCATGTCATGTTCTCTTGTAACCTTAGATAACAATATCTTAAAGATTTAGAGGATGCACTTACTCTTCTAAATTTTAATTACCCAGCATTTAAAAATCAGCAAGACAAATTATCATTGTTTTTGTATGGAGACAGAAGTCTGCCAAAAGAAGTTAATATTGAAATCTTAAGGCTCACCTCAGCTTTTATTCAAAGGTGTGCAAGCGTGTAAGTATTTCTTCCACCACCAACTGTATAATTTTGTACACAATAATTCTTTTGTTTATTGCAAATCCATTGTCATACTTTCTTTTTTAAATCTTGTTATTATTCAATTGTGGCTTATAATTATGCTCCATTGCAAAGCCGCAACATGTGTATGTAATAATTCTATTTTACTATGAAATAAATCACATATAAAAAAAGATAAAAAACACCGACAAGTATTAGATTCATAATCTGTTGCCATGGTAACGTACCGAACACCTATGTATAAAATATGTATAAATGTGATAATGCCCAAGTTAACACATTCATATACGTAGCGACCATTTCTTTTGCAGCATTTAGCCGAACATGATCATAATGAACATTTTTTGGAAGGGATTGCCCATCCAATTTAAATCGCGGTGCACTATTCTATTTGGATCTCCCTTGTACCTTACATCGGAGCCAGGTATATTAATTACAGCAACTGCGCATGCACCAGTTTTATCAAGTTCATTGTACAAATTTCTGGCTAACTCTCCAACATACACGAGATCATGGGAAATCCATTTACGGCGATTCAAACTCGTTCTCGCTCTTTGCAAGTCCATTGTTCCAGCATTATGGTCCTTACTTGCAACTACGATGTTTCGTCCATCTTGTCGAAATAGTATATGCCCGCCGTCGCATACACTAACAGTGTGCTTGTTCCGACCATGTATCGGTTTATAAGCAATGACAAACCAGACGCGCCAATCATACTTTCCATTTAACATGTTGTACAGTCCTGCACTGAAATCTTCGTTACTCATGCCAGTATTGTCGGCAGTATATTTTTTAATGTCCACAAGAGACTGGTTATGGTATCTGTCTGTCACTGTCCTGTCAACCTGTTCGAAATTCGATTTTACCGTTCGAATCCTGGTTTCCCATTCTTGCTTTCTCTGTTCGGCAATCGTTTCAAACCCTTTCGCTTTATAGTATGCAAGTTCTATCTTAACTGCTTGGATGAGGAGTCGCATTATACCAAGAAGAAAATCTCGCGTCTTCTTGCGATCATTTTTAGTGTAACGCATAACAGATTCTCCGAGATTTTCCTGAAAGGTACCTTGGGTGTGCACAATTGCATTGTACAATTTTAACCCGCTAAGCTGATAATCACTTTCGAAATGTGTTATAAATACTTGCTTCCTATTCGCTGCTGGTGCTCCGCCGGTATAAAGAAGTCTGAATTCTACATCCATTGCCAAGATTTTTTGTTCGATTTGTCCAAAGTTCACCGCCACCTTAGTCCAATCAATCATGCGTTGAACTTCATCAAATCGTGAGTCCAGTCGATTGAATCTGTTATCAATGTTTTTCATCATCCATTTTAGGTATGCAAGTTCTGCCGAATCAGCTCCTGGTATAAATGCAAGGATTAGACTGAGAAAAGGACCGAATGCACCCAAGAACGGGGCAATACTTTTGCCTATTTTAGTTAACGCCTCTTTAAAGTCTCTCTCTGTAATAAGGTCAAGAATTGCTCTCCCAGCCTCGAAGCCCTTTTCGATCTTTGTCTTGTCATTATTACTTATCTCACTTCTGTTTCGTTCGACTAAAGCTAGAAACACAACGATTAGCAACCATAAGAAAGGTCCACCTGAAATGAAAAATGAATATGTTCGATAATCGAGTACCAAAACGAATGCAAAAAGTCGAACCTGGGGTTTCATCATCGTGAGATATCACAGCAGAGATGGTCTGAGTTTCAGAATGGGGTTTCATCATCCTGGTTCAAATCTACAATTTCAAATGCACAAATATCAAACCTTGTAAAAAGCAGAAAGGGTAATAATAAAAAGGGCACTAATTTCACAATAATTCCTTCTTTGTTAACGACCCATACTGTGACTGTGGAGCTCAAGAGACAGCGCGACTTTTGTCACGACCTCTAAGAAATACAAATGCATGAACTAACATAGACATGAGATATCTAACTTACTCGAACGTACCTTAATTTTAGTTTCAAATAGACCGCCCTTTCCATGAAATGTATTTGTGTTTGGATAACATATACAGATGTAAAGACACACGCGCATAATGATATCTATAAAATTTTGATTATCAAAAATTATTAAACTATCTAAGATTTATGTAAGTATTTCCTTTAGTTTTTACTAAATTCGCTTTACACAGTAAGTTGATTAAGTGTAAATCTATAAAACCATAGAGAAATTATGAATTAAAAATACCTCGAAATATCCTCTTAAATTGTTCCATGATGTTAAATCCTACAGGTCGTGGTTCAAACAGTATATTGTACGATTCGACCTTTCTCGTCTGGCACTCTGGAAGGCTATCATCCACTTAAATACTAGATATAGTACCTCTGATGCCGGAATTTCAATCTGCAATAATTTGAACGATAGCTGCCATCTATGTACATTTAATCTAGTTATGTAAATAGCTAAAAGTTGGCGCTACCAACCATTAAACATCGAATAAGGTAATTAGCAAGATAAGCGTAACAGTAAATATTATATGCAGTTGGAGCAAAATGCCTATGCATTGTTATTTGAAGATGATTTTGACAGTTTTTTCATTAGGAGAACAATTAGACTGTAACCCATTCTGTATAAGTGCTCTAGAAATGCAACCTTCCTTACATAAAAGGTTACACATTCCAACCTATTTCAAACCATCTGTATGATTATACCAAGGGAAAAATCAATACCCGGTGATTTCAGCGGGAAGTCGCGTTTCGTTCAGTGGATGAGCTGCGCGCGCACGCATAAATGTGATTATCAATATTATTTAGGGGAGGGATATCCAAGCTTATTTTCGTCATAGGCGCGACCCAGGGCTGTTGTCTTAAGGACATTTTGTTGAAAATTAGACATTCGGCTGATAATTTGTAAGAGTTTGCGATCTTATAATGTATAACTGTTACTCAGACACATATTTTGACACGATTCTGCTGGAAATAAGCTTTGAACCGAGAGATATTCACGATTGATATGCACATTTTTGATTGTTCCATTGCTTTTCCATTGCACAATCCATGTATTGATAGAAGTAACAATAATGCAGACTGTTTTACCTTCAATACATGGCGGATTCACTACATATCGGTCTATTAAATACCATGTTGTGCCCCAAATAGTTTTATATTTCCATCACGGCCTGGAGCCTGGGTGTGTTTGTCTCTTATGTGTATGCTTGTGAATTGGTGGGGCTGGTAGGGCCACCAATCCCCTGCCCCCGTCCAACAATAGGAATTATTTTCCTTGCCAATCAATCATGAATCACAATCAAAATTTCAGTAAGGATCAATCAGGCAATCGTCCAAAATCCAAATCAAGTTATAACATTATATGATATTCAGCAAGAAGTCTGGTAGAAATATAGAATATTTAAACATCAAAGCTGAAAGTTAAAAGCTAATCTGTCAATTTTCTGTCTGCAAAAGAACGTTTACATTTGACACAATAAAAGACCAAGGCTTTGAAATCTAGGATTCCCCAGGAAAATATGACGTCATACTAATTAGCATAAGGATTTCCCTCGTGGTTTGGGTCGAGCATCGTCCGAAAACACAATCCGATAAATACATGCTTTATTCTAAGGAGATAGGAAGTGTATGACGTGTTTATCGATTTTGTTTAAAAATTTAATCAATTATCAAATTGTTTATGTGGATAAAGTGGTCACACTTGCTTCAATTCATAGCGTAATCGACGGATAGAAACTGCACGGAATTCCCGATATCCTACCCCGTATTACTGTAGGCTATAACAACAGTGACCTGCAGATGGCGCTATCACAAACAAGTACTGCACGAACCGATAAATTCCCGGGTATTGTAACGCCCTTGATTATACTGGACACTTTCTGGGTAGTTGGACTTTCTATAGGGGTGGCAGACGGCCATCAGACCAATTTATACCCCTACCCCCAAAAAACCATGGGGGTACTTTAATACCATCCAATAAAAAGAATACTAATGCATGTCAGATATTCATTGTTTTATATTGGGTAGGGCATGTTATGATTAATAAGTGCCAGAAATTTCCAATCTCTAACTGATATGGTAACCATAGAAACAGTATTTATATCTCCAGATATTCTCAATTTGACCCCCTCCCAAATGTGTCCCTTTGTTCTCAAAGTGAAATATTTCAAAATCTGTTTGGATTTTATGGCTGCTACTTTGTCAAAATTTGTAATATTATGTCTATATTAACACTAAAACACTTAAAAGTTGATATAATGATCCTATAAATCAATTATATTTATCAAATATAGTCACACATAGCTGCTTTCAGGGAAAAGTGGGCGTGGCACTTTTTGGTACTTGTGCGCTTGTTGCAGCATTAAATGAAAAATGCAGATTACACTAACAATAATTGACATTTAATTAGCATCTACTAATGTTGTGTAACATTAATATGTTCATTATCATTATTAGACACTTTAAATATTTTATATAAGTGTTATCCTGACCCTTCCCTACCATAGGTCATCAATGGTCAAATGAACTTTTAGTGTAAGTCTTATAGGGTCCTCGGTCTTTTAAGTCTGTCAAGAGTCAAGTCTTACTTATTCATTGACTTGTTCCTAGAATATGAATGGATAAGTTAAAGTCATCTAGAGCTATGAGTTGTTCAACAGTATTTAGAACCATTTTACCATGTTTACTGCAATTGAAAAGAAATGAACAGTTCAATCCTTTTGGTATGATATTTGATGCTAGTGTGAATTGCATAACATTTATGATTAAACTCAAATGAACAAATATAACTCTGGCTACTAACCCTTCCCTAGTATCCTTCACATAACCTCTAAATCATCTTCATATCCATGGCCTAAATGGGGAAGGAGGGAGGGGTTACAAATAGTGATCGAGGATAATTTGAATCAAAGCAAGAAGACGTAATACTCAAAACTAGAAAGATTGGAGACCATTTATACCCTTCCTAATATTTTGCCTAATACATAACACTTAAATCTATTTTGTCAGACACTTGCTGATTCTTTTATCAATACCTCAACATCAGGCAATGCATGATCTATCCAATGGATTAAAGATTATACTTGATTCTAATATGGCAAAATTAATTTTTCGTATGAATTGCATAGAGCATCATTTTGCAGTTATAGTAAAATGCATCCATTCATTTATTGGCTCATAGTTAACAAAAAAGCTATTCTCTGGAAGGTACAGTATAATTTCTATTAGTATTTAGCAAAAATAATTGCAAGATAAACAATTTACACATGTTTCTGATATACTGTATTTTCAATGATTTCTTCAATAGTGGTTCGGTATATGTTTTTGAAATACTTCAAATAATTCCTAAACAAATCTGTTTAGTGTATGAAATCAAAAAAGTACAGGGTGGTCAAAAAAATGGAAACCCTGTCGCCATTTTCCTCATATCTTTGTCGTTTTAGGAGATTACTCCCTGATATTTAGCACATTTGTACATCATTCAATTTCCTACCGGCCTACCATATTTCATGATAGTCACAATGTTACAGCACTTTAAACAACATGCTCCATTGGCCAATATTGCACTTTCGGCAAACCTGCACCTATTATCCAAAATGTCCCTACCTAATGTCAACCTATGGTGATACACCAAAAAAGAGTCTACGAGAATAACCCCAGGAAAACTGCAGACCTCAAAAAGCAGATCATCCATGTCATTCAGGCCATACCTGCTGAAAAATGTAGTCAGACCATTGACAACCTGTTCAGATTTGCCAATAGCGCGATGGTGGCCACACTTGGGCATCTTGTTCAAAGTGCTGTACCATTGTGACTATCAATCTGATGGTGATGAAATATGGTTAGCTGGTAGGAAATTGAATGTTACATACATGTGTGTCAAATTTCAGGGAATAATTACCCAAAATGACGAAGATATGAGGAAAATGCAGGGTTTCCATTTTTTTGACCACCCTGTAGATACATTTGACCCATACTTGGACATGTTTCAGATACATATAGCAGGTTTATAAATACTTATATTTTCATCAGTGGGCAGATGTAGCTAATGTCCCGGCCTGAGAGGGCAGATATATTACACCTGCCCACTAAGTCATAATCATCATTTGTGTATGATTAGCAATGAGGGAAGTAGCATACTTAATACATATGTTAATAATCAATGATTCGAGAATATGTGGATGAATACTTAAAAAACAGGAGAATCCTCCTAAGGCCAAGAAAACAAAATTAGACATGAATACATTCATATGGTTGAATTCTTTCTAACTCTGGCCAATTGAACAATGTGAACCAGATAAGAAAGATTGATATTGGATAAACAGATCATCCTAAAGTCAGTTCATGCTATTAAGATTATCCCTTGGCGAATATAATATATCTTCCCTCAGGACCTACGACCCTCGGCCAGATATATTATATTGGCCTCGGGATAATTCCAATACCCTGAACCTCATCGAGGATAATCTCTATTCGTCTTCATCAATTATTATTATACATATAAATCGGGATATAAATATAACCTAAAGTAAGAAATCACATTCTCTAACCAGTAATATTTAATTTTAAAATTGGTAAATGATGATTATGTCACAATAGAATTGATGACCATGATTTATTTGAGAATAAAACAGACAAAACAAAGGTTTTCGTATGAATTGCATAGAGCATCATTTTGCAGTTATAGTAAAATGCATCCATTCATTTATTGGCTCATAGTTAACAAAAAAGCTATTCTCTGAAAGGTACAGTATAATTTCTATTAGTATTTAGCAAAAATAATTGCAAGATAAACAATTTACACATGTTTCTGATATACTGTATTTTCAATGATTTCTTCAATAGTGGTTCGGTATATGTTTTTGAAATACTTCAAATAATTCCTAAACAAATCTGTTTAGTGTATGAAATCAAAAAAGTACAGGGTGGTCAAAAAAATGGAAACCCTGTCGCCATTTTCCTCATATCTTTGTCGTTTTAGGAGATTACTCCCTGATATTTAGCACATTTGTACATCATTCAATTTCCTACCGGCCTACCATATTTCATGATAGTCACAATGTTACAGCACTTTAAACAACATGCTCCATTGGCCAATATTGCACTTTCGGCAAACCTGCACCTATCATCCAAAATGTCCCTACCTAATGTCAACCTATGGTGATACACCAAAAAAGAGTCTACGAGAATAACCCCAGGAAAACTGCAGACCTCAAAAAGCAGATCATCCATGTCATTCAGGCCATACCTGCTGAAAAATATAGTCAGA